AAGCATCATGTGCAACTACACTGGTTTCAAATACAGATAGAAAGAATTTGAAAATAGTGTCAGAACCTCTGTTTTTGTTAATGGAATAATCAAATTATCATCATCGTCATCATCACATTTGAAATAGGAAGAAAATGAGGAGACAGGAAGCAGCGTTTGTATAAGGAGGGGAAACTTTATTTATAACACATGGGGGCGCTGACGTGGAGTCACCAGCTCAGCATCTATATTACAAGGTTTATCTGCAAGGCTGCGTATGTACTGTACTGTATTTGGAAACCAAAATCGCAGTGGCACTAGAAACACACGCTTAAAACAACACACTCTTTCCCTTTTTGTAAAAGTATTTTTCTTTTTTCATACAAAATGGTACAAACAACAATACAAAATATTTGTGCTGTTGACAGTTTACAAAAAAGTATTTTACCTTGATAACTGTGCAATTATTTTTTTTTTGAAGCGTTTTAGATTTTTTCATTTCATTTTTTTCTCCATTTGAGTTTATGTGAGTATGGTACAAACCAGAAGTCCTTCTGGACCGCAACCTTGGTCATGCGGGCTGCTACACGCTTTAAAATTATCTTTATGATAACTGTTATAGAATTCTTCTTCTGTCCATTATAAAAAGACACATGCAAAAAAAGCTCAAATTGTACAGTTATATGTTGCCTAACTTCATCTGTTTAGCTTCAAGCAATTACTACATTATGTACACTCAGACGTGAGCAACATCGGGGCGACTCCAATACGACATTGGTTGCGTCTCAAATCATACCCTATCCCTTGTAGTGCATTACTTTCATTAGTGTACTACATGGAGATTAAGGTGCCATTTGAGACTCAGCCACTGTCATGTTTCTGTGCGGTCCTGGTGAAAGTGAAGGTCTAACACTGTAACTAACTTGTTGGAGTCTCCTGCAGTTGGATAGAGTGCAGAACACCTCATAGGTTGGGAAGAGCTTTCAGGATCTGTGGTTCTCAGTGAGAACACCAATCTGAGAGAAGATGACCACTTCTCTCTAGGGAGACACGGACAGACAGACTGACTGCTTGTGTGCAGGCCTTATGGTAAAGGGAGTGTACAATTTAAAGTAGGGTCAAGCCGTACACACAGATACTAAATGGCAGGTCTGAATTACATCTGCAGAAGCTAGACATGCTGCATTCCTCCCACTATATCATTCATCCCAAGCTTGTACTCAAGGAATACATTTTCACACCTTAGCCTCCCGCTAGCTCCACCTTCAATATGCCAAACTAAAATGTGGATGCGCAAATCCATACATCCTGATCCCAGTTCCCCTGTGTGTGTCATTGTCACACCAATAGCATCCATTCAACCTAACCACCTTTGCATATTTACAAGTACAACCTTCAAACCTCCAATTCAAACCTTCATTTATCCAAAACCTTCATTTCACCCCTCCCTGGCTTCCCTCTCATCCCCTCATAGCATTGGAATGGGACAGCTTCATTTGTCTCACTAATAACTCCTAGATAATGCCACATTCACTATGACAGGCATTAGCCTGTTCATGTGATTATGCTATGTAGTGCTTATGACAGCAGCCTTATGTAAAGTGGGAACATGAAGTGCCTGGGTCTTTCTCCTCTCTGTTTGCTGCAGCCCATGCAGGTGTATATCTGACAGACATGAGGGAGCATAAGGCAATCATAAAACATGTCTTTCTGAATGCTGTCTGGCCTTCAGCCAGGCTGGACTCTCTCGGGTGGGGCATAGCAAGGAGGCCTTATCTATATGGGTTGACATGCAGGATGATGCCCAGAGAGGGTGAGTGCAAATATGTATAGAAGGACGTCTTGTATTGTAATGACGGCAACCTTGAACAGCGACACCCACATAAACAAGTATGGCTGTGAGCGTATGAGTCTCTTTGAATCTTCAGTGAACGCAAATGGCTTTTATGGTGATTTAAAGCTTGCAAGCAGGCTTGGTAGGCTACTCGTCGAACAACAAAGAAAACAAAACACAGGGTGAAGAATATAAAGACAACAAATGTACAAAACAACAAAATGTAAAAAAAAAAAAAGTTTATGTACAACATTTATATGTCGGAAATAATCATGAATCACGAACAGCAACAGCTGTGTAATGTGTGACTGTGTGTGTGTGTGTGTGTGTGTGTGTGTGAGTGCATTGATATAAGCTTTAGTGAAGAGAGGAGCACTAATCCTACTTTGCGATGGCAAGAGGTGAGGTGGAAACCCTAAATACCACTTCCTGTTTCTGTGTATGTCACCATCCAAAGGCATTGTTGGTACACTGCAGGACCAGAGGGTCAAAGTTCATACACACTGATGTCCTGTCGCTCTACATCAGGTGGGTTTGGGGTCCAACTCACTGTTATTCAACAGTGACCTATATGACCTACTCCCCCTTTCAGTACCCTTCATATCCCTCCCTTCCTCCCACCTCTCTGCCCCTATCCCTCCCTCCCTTCCCCTCCCCTCTGTAAGGCATTCTGTACATATCTTTTTTCTCCAGCGGAAGATAAGACGGTGTAGTGTGAAGGGTAAAGACCTGATAGAGAAGGGGAAGCTGGGAGGAAGAGCATGGGACACTGAGAGTCCTCTTCTCCTCACATCTTATCTAGGAGTTTAGAGGCTTTCTCTCTTTGTCAAGGAGATTACCTGGAAGGATCCATCATCCTCTTAATTATGAAGGGTAACTGGAGGATTAATTAAATATATAACACTGCTCAATTTCTATCAAATCCACCATTAAAGAGAAAGAGCTAGGGAGAGAGAAAGAGAATCTCTACGTATAGAAACAACATTTCTTTTGAGTGTAAATCTCAACTGAAATTACATTGAACTCAGTTTACATTTTTGAAAGAGCAAAACATTCCGATGGACTCAGTTAACTGCCGAGAGGATAAGTGGACTGTGTGAAGTGAATGGGCAGTGTGAGAGAAGCTGTGTTGATTTCTCCAGCATCTCCTCAACTGGGAACATGGGAACACTATGTGAAAGGTCATTTACAAAAGGACTTCTGCCTGTGTGTGAGTGAGAAACAAGTGTATAACTTGTATAACTGGGGAAAATGTACTGTATATCATAGGAATGATGCATGGGTAGTGGTGTTTTCACAAAAGACAATAACATGTCTGTTCCTCATAGGCACCTTCTTCTCTAAAGAGTGAAACGTTTAGCACTATTAAACCCTGCTTTGGTAAAGTGCAGTTCTTCTCTTTCGCTCTTTCCATAAAGGTTTGTATGAGACATATTTTCCCCAACATGTTTTCGAAACCTCTTGCATTTCAAATGAATGAAAATGTCTGAGGAAAGACATTGTGGTGCTTGCTAAGTCCCTGGCAGAATCTCAACTCTCTCTCTCTCTCTGTTGCTGCGACAGAGACCAGCATCAGAGATGGTATATCAAAAGCGTGTCAAGACAACAGTGAATCAGCACAAAAAAAGTAAAGTAAAGTCGAAGCTTGAAACTTTGGGTCTCACAATTTGTCTTCTCTGCCAGCAATGCTAGCAGAAATGGAGCACAAACGGTTTGTACTAATACTTAAAAAATATCTACTTTTACACCCTTTTTCTCATTTTTTTTTACAGTTTATATAGTTTTCCTCAACACATTGACCAATAAGATCACAAGACAACTAGTGCCATGTTGACAACATTTGCAACGGGGGACAGAACCATGCAACCCACCCACGTCCTTCATTTTAGAATAGAGACAAGGTCTAGGTAAAGAAAAACAACCCTCCTATGGATTCATTTCTTTCACATTAAAAATGACTCGTCATCCCTCTATCCCTAGCTCACATAGCCTCACTAAGTTAAAAGTGCAAAGTAATGCGAACTCAAAACCACAAAGCCATCCAAACTCAACTGCTCTCAGAGGGTACACATTGTTTGAATACAGTAAATACATGTTGTCTAACGACACAGTCCCATTCTGTATCAGTGTGATGATTCCTATTGTCACACTGGTGATGGCTGCGCATCAGAAGCTCAGATGTGCCAGATTGGAAAGAAAATATTTGTCCTTCACCTAAGGAGATATACTGTTTGTCTTTGTACAGAGCACTCCCTCTCCTAAATTCACACCAATTATACCCCCTCACCCCCAAAGGCAAATCCCCTCTGCAACTTATTCTGCATCTGCCCGTGTTACATTACAGGGTGATGAACATGACACACAGGAAAAGGGGCGGGAAGGTCAGAATTGAAAGGTGAGGGGTTATTAGGGGGCGGGGGGCGGGGGGCACATGTTAGCCCAGAAAATGGCCACCAATCCTGAGTTAGCGGGAGTCAGCAAAAATAAAACGCACCACTGAAGGCACTTCTTAAACAACAGTGCTTCTGTTCTATGGAATTCAAGTTCAGAGAGATGAAACCAGGGCCTTCCATGCAGAGGAAGGAGTTTACTTTGTGTGTTTCTTTGTTATTTTCTTCTGCGTCACGCAATATGCACCTCAATCTATCTGCAAAGGGACAGGCTGGGGGCTGATGGGGAAATAGAAAGCCAATGGCCTCCAAACACCAGGAAATAGCTCACATTTAAGGACAGTGAGGGCACCATGAGATAATCATTATTATTATTATTTTTATAACATAAAACAAAAGTAGCCAACCCCAAAATCTACCCCCCTCCCCCCACACACCTTGGAGCAGGAGAGGGCTCCGTACAGTACAATACAGCACAGAAGGACAAAGCTGCCTCACTGCACAGTCCACTATGGCGGTTGCTTGATTGATTGGTCAGTTGCTAGGTCAGTTCAGTTGGTCGGTGTGTGTGTGTGTGTGTGGTGTGTATTGTTGTGTGTGTGGTGTGTATTGTCGCGTGTGGTGTGCATCGGTGTGTGTGGTGTGTATTGTTGTGCGTGGTGTGCATCGGTGTGTGCATTGGTGTGTGTGTGTGTGTTATCTGTCTCTCCAAGGTTGGCGAGACAGAGAGAGCATGGCAGACCAGCTGAGGGGGTTCGGCTGGGGGAGTTGATCTTTAACGAGGCCCACCTGTGGCCCTATTCGTCGTCCCCTCCCCCGTACATGTCGGCCAGCTTCTTGAAGCGGGGGCCCCAGTCGTTGAGGTAGTCGTAGTCCTGGTCCCCGGTGCTGGAGGAGTTGAGGGAGCTGACGGAGCCGGCCGTGGAGCCGCTGCCCTCGTAGTCAAACACCAGGAGGGAGTCATAGGGAGGGGCTGTGGGGTCATTGTCTGCCGCCCGCAGACCCTGGAGGGAGGGAGAGGGAGGAGAGAGTTGTATTGGTATATAGGCCAACAGGATTAAAAAGGTTAGTGTATAGTACTATATAGAGACAGAGAAGGGTAGGCTTTTTGTAAGATAACAGCTAAGGAAGCACCATAGAGAACATTTTAAGTATTGGCATACCGGCAATATATTGTGAGTGACAGAGTGATGTCATTGGCAGGGATGTAGAATCCCCAAGGAGGATACAGTGGGCAACCGAGCCACAATGTGTTTGTGTTTTGCCAGACTGTTGGAGCGAGATTTGTGTGTGTGTGTGTGTGTGTGTGTGTGTGTGTGTGTGTGTGTGTGTGTGTGTGTGTGAATGTGTGTGTGTTTGCGTGTGTGGGCGTGTGTGTAGTCAGGATGGATCAAAGCTGAACAGCTGCCAACACTTCTCAAGTGTGAACATGTTGTCACGGCGCCTGTCAATCAAAGCCTTCTTGCATGACTGTGTTGAGATTGGGGTTACGTACGCACAAGTGAGCATGTGCATGTGTGCGTGTGTGAGTACAGTATGTGCGTGTTTGTAAGTGTGTGTGTGTGTGTGTGTATGATAACAGCTGTCAGGTAATCTCCATTCTCCACTGTTGCCAGAGCTCAGAGCATTGAAACCTGTAAATAAATAACATCCAGAAAATACCTACATTTATGCAACATTACCCTCACATCTCACACATTTACCTAAAACAGAAGGTACATCAAAAGACTAAGAAATAAAAAGGTACATATATACACCTCCATCTTATTTACTGATCTGAATGTCTTATGTTCTGTGTTTGTGTAGTCTTGTATTGTAAGTTTGTCATTGTAACTTGAGTCGTGTTTGGAGTACCTTGTGTATGGAAATGTGTCTGTGTTAAATTATATATTGATAAAGGAAAAAACTAATCTATGACCCCAGGTTGCCCCCCTCACCTCGTTGATGAAGTCCCCGATATCCCCAGGGTGAGGGACCACAGGACGGATGGGGTACTGGGACTCAGGGATGATGGGGCGCTCGTCCACCCTCCGTACCCCTGGGGGCTTACTGATGATGTGCTCCAAGGAGTCCGGCTGCTGCAGCTGGCTCAGGTCATAGTCCTGCCCAGAGACACACACAGATAAGACAGTCAACCTCAAGACAGACCTGACTGGCTGTCAGTGTTTGTGGGTGTATGTGATATATACTGTATATATACACATACACATGTGTTGTTGTTTATAGGTTTGTATCTGTGTGTGTGTGTGTGTGTGTGTGTGTGTGTGTGTGTGTGTGTGTGTGTGTGTGTCTGTGTGTGTGTGTACCTGGTCCTCCTCTCCCCCTCCCTCCTCATCGTATTTCAGGATGTTGTCTCTGACATCGTCCTCGGGGTCGATCAGCAGCTGTTTGGTCTGTCTCTCCTTCTCTCTGCGCTTCATCCACAGTACAAATACTAGCACCATACCTGCAACACACACAACACACCTTCAATAACACACTAATACTGCAAAACACACAACAAACACACATTAAACAAAACACTTATACTGCAAAACACACAACCAACACACCTTAAACAACATACATTATTGGCTTACTGCAAAATACACAACCACACAAAAAAGCAAAAAAGCTCTACATATTTGTGGAGGATAGGACTGTACCGCCATTCAAAAGACAGAAAACCGGAAGATAATGACATTTTTCGAGGAACAGAACCAGAACCGAGAACAAAAGTGATCTATACTGTTCAGGAGCAGAACCGTTATTTGAATTGCATGGGTTAATAAAGTTATTTTAATTTCCAGGGATTTTTTTACAGTTCCACAAAAAATGCAACAAAGAAATGTATTCCAGTGTCTGCCTGCCTGCCAGCTGAAACTCTTTGCCAGTGTATGTGTGTGTAGGCTACCTGCCCCTCCCCCCCTCCCCTACGAAGCATGCATAGTCTACTGTAGCTTCTGACGTTACAGGCGTGATTCAGAAATTAGGGAGAGAGATTTTTTATTACAGAACAATGGATTAACTTTTTCAATGCTAGTTAAGGATACTGTAGTTATCACGTTTTACATTGGATTTATTAACTACAAAAAGGTAAGATGTGTTTTTATTTTAATTCTGGTGTCGCTCTGCACACACAAGTTTATTAGCTAGCTAGCTTGTTAGCTAGCTCTGGTCTAGCTCTTGAAAACTCTAGGCGGCATTATGTGTAATGTAATGGAACTGAGAGGCATGATCACGGGCTAGCTCTGGTCAAACAGTTAAGCCAACTCTCTGAAGTTCAAAGACATTCAAAGATCCTTCATAAATTTTGCTCCTCCGTAGGTATAATTATGTGGGCCTAATTCAGATAACGCATGTCCTAACAACAAGATGCCCAGCCGCAAAAGATGCTCACCCGCAGCATTTCAGTCGCATATGGCACCCTACATTACACTTGCCTGTCCAATGCATGTACATAGCTAGCCCGCTCCATAACAAGCTGCTCTATCCATTGGTAAAGTAATTTGATGTCGAGCTAAATGCAAAAAATAAATATATATTTCAGAGGAACAGAAAGGAACGACATAAACTGTTACTTTGTTTTGGTTTGAACCGCTTCAGAACTTTATTTTGCTGGTTGGAACAGTGGAATGGAATGAAACAAATTATTGTTATGTTCAGAACGAAACGATTGGAAAATATTTTCGGTTCCAACCCCTGAAATGTAAACAATTTAAATAAGGTATGAGCACACACCACACCACCACAAAACAAACCAGCAGCAGCACCTCAGCAAAACAAGTCCACATTAAAACCCCTCTCTGGCAGAACACAATAATAAAACCCATAGGGTCACCAACTCAGAGACAGCACATTCTGATAGCCAGCTAAGAATTAATCTATAATACAACCTTTACGTTATTGTATGGTTATTGTTATTGTAACTGTATGGTAAATGTTTGTGAATATAAGGCCCAAATGGCACAATGTGTGAAAGAACAACAAATCATAATCCACTTCAGCATCTGGTAAGAAAGGCGGTTTAATATTACATTTGATCATAGGGATCTGATGTACAGTATGTAGGGAGGAGGTGGTGGTAGCTACAGGGGGAATGGGAGGGGAAGGAAGATATGTTTGTTTCTATACTCTCTGATAGCGGTGAACACGATTGGCTGTTAATTAGAAAGTGATGGCTCTGAGCGAATCAGAGTGATGTGTCTGGAGGTATGGCAGGTGTGTGTGTATTTTCTACGTATTTATGAGTACAACATAAATAGTTTGTGTGCACAGATGTCCTCTGTAGCTCAATTGGTAGAGCATGGCGCTTGTAATGCCAGGGTAGTGGGTTCGATCCCCGGGACCACCCATACGTAAAAATGTATGCACACATGACTGTAAGTCACTTTGGATAAAAGTGTCTGCTAAATGGCATATTATTATATTATTAAGAAAAGCTGAAGTTTGCGATTTCCACTTTTAAATTTCAGACTAGATTTTCCTTTCGAAAAATGTATCAACTCCTACAAAATGTCCATTAATTATAATCTACATAATAATTCACCTTTCCAGTTGCTGCAGGATTTCTTGCTGTAGCAAACTTGCTCAAATTAAGTTCCTACATCTGTATCTAAGATGTCCAGTCCAGCATACTCACTGAGCAGTATGATGATACAGATGAGTATGGCTATGATGGCTCCAGTCCCAAGTCCAGGGGCAGCCACAGCCCCGACAAGGGTGCAGTCTCCGTTCTCATCACATGGACACACCTTGACCTTGATAATGGACCTGTTGGAGAGGGGAGGGTTCCCCGAGTCGGTCACAATCACAGGCACCTCATACACCCCCGGCTCCAGATACTGGGTCCGTAAACTCAACCGGGCATAGTCACCTGGGGAGGGGAGAGAGAGAACAGACAGAGGTTACTACCACTGATAGAGACATCTATAGCGGAGAGCGGGGTATGTTGAACCCTTTTTTACATTCAGCATCACTACTAAGGGGAATATTGTATTCTTTCTAACAAATATATATTTCAGGATGTTGTGTATCCCTGGAAATAATCAGAATTCATGTAAACATAATAGTTTTGAAAACATAGCTAGTCCGGGTATAGGGTAAATTGAGCAAAGCGACAGGTTAAGCATAAGGACACATTTCTAACACTTCATACTTTTTAAAGGTCCTGAACAGTCACTCTGAAAAGTACTTTGTCTCTCATGGCTAACTACCAGGAAGTTTGAAATGACAGGATATGTGGGCGAGGAGCTTATATTAATGAGCTCACTGGCTCCGATGCTTGTCGGATGTGGCAGAGCTAGCAAAATATTACAGACTACAAAGGGAAGCACAGCCGCGAGCTGCCCAGTGACACGAGCCTGCCAGACGAGCTAAATGACTTCTATGCGCGCTTCGAGGCAAGCAACACTGAAGCATGCATGAGAGCACCAGCTGTTCCGGACGACTGCGTGATCACGCTCTCCGTAGCCGATGTGAGTAAGACCTTTAAACAGGTCAACATTACCACAGCTACAAAGTCAAAATGGACTATATTGTACAAATTAATGAAAACTAAAATAATTTAAGGTTAGGGTTAGGCATAAGGTTAGCAGTGTGTTTAATGTTCAAATTTTAAGAAGATAAATTGTAGAAATAGGTGGCCTTTATGATTTTGTAGGTGTGGTACTAGTGACGACCGTTCTCCCTGTTGCACTCGTTCGTTCGTTTGTTCGTGAGCTGGCTGCTCATTCTAAATAGTATAAATTAATCTGTTGAAAACAGTGGCAGCATGTGCAGCAGTAGTCATTTGGTTTTTGACATGCAAAAGTAAAATAGGTATATTTATGCAGTTATTTAAATGCACAGATTGCTTTATATATATTGTCAAAGAAACTTGGCATCATATTTCTGTCATGTTGCTTTGTTGACAACTCCAACCACCTCACGCCCAGGGTATTCAGCCAATCAGCCGCCAACCCCCATCTACCCCTGCCGGTCCGGTACCCTTACCGTTGAGACGTGACACGGTCCAGTTGCGTCGTATGCTAGCAGGGAACGTGGGCAGCTCGAAGACGAAAGGGCCTACGTTGGGGTCCATGTCTGCGTCTGCAGCCGTGATGTTGATGCCGGCGTTACGGTTGATGCGTTCACAGATCTGAGACTCACGGGGCAGCAGAGACGGAGCGTTGTCATTCACATCTATCAGATAGATCTGGAGGGTCCCTGTACCACTGGCCATGGGAGAGCCTGGGAGGAGGACAGGAGAGGGTGGGAGTAGAAGAAGAGGCCGGAGAGGGGAGGGGTGGAGGAGAGGAGAGGAAGAGGATAGGGAGAGATGAGGTAAGGGAAGGGTTATTATTATTGTTAAGCGAACACTCACAGCCACACACAACCGCACAGCCATACGCACACACACTGATAAGAGCACTCACTGCCCTTTCCAAACAATACCCCAACAAAGCAATGACTTCCAGGAGGCAGAGGGAGAGAGAGAAAGATGGGGTAGGAAGATAGATTGAGAGAACTTGAGAAAAGGAAAGAGGACTGGCAATTGGGTGAAAGCAAATAAAGGGAGTCTGCACAGATGAGAGGGAGAGAAAGACCGAAAGAAAAAGATAAACAGATAGAGAGATGAGTGTATCTCCTGTAGAGAGAGAGAGAGAGAGAGAGAGAGAGAGAGAGAGAGAGAGAGAGAGAGAGAGAGAGAGAGAGAGAGAGAGAGAGAGAGAGAGAGAGAGAGAGAGAGAGAGCATGGAGAACCCAGGCAGATATCCACACAGGGATTTCTGGGTAGATCGTGGAGAAAAACTATTTGCCCCCTTTCTGATTGTCTCTATTCAGTTTTTGATACTGAATGTTATCAGATCTTCAACCAAAACCTAATATTAAATAAAGGGAACCTGAGTTTACAAATAACCACAAAAAAAGTATACTTATTTTATTTATTTAATTAACAATGTTATGCAACACCCAATTCCCCTGTGTGAAAAAGTAATTGCCCCCTTACACTCAATAACTGGTTGTGCCACCTTTAGCTGCAATGACTTCAACCAAATGCTTCCTGTAGTTGTTGATCAGTCTCTCACATCGCTGTGGAGGAATTCTGGCCCACTCTTGAATGCAGAACTGCTTTAACTTAGCGACATTTGTGGGTTTTCAAGCATGAACTGCTCGTTTCAAGTCCTGACACAACATCTCAATTGGGATTAGGTCTGGACTTTACCTAGGCCATTCCAAATGTGTTGCTTTTTTAACAATTTTCATGTAGACTTGATTGTGTGTTTTTGATCATTGTCTTGCTGCATGACCCACCTGTGCTTCTGCTTCAGCTCACAGATGGATGGCCTGACATTCTCCTGTAGAATTCTCTGATACAGAGCAGAATTCATGGTTGCTTCTATTAAGGCAAGTCGGCCAGGTCCTGAGGTAGCAAAGCATCCCCAAACCATCACACTACCACCACCATGCTTGACCGTTGATATGAGGTTCTTTCTGTGGAATGCAGTGTTTGGTTTTTGCCAGACATAATGGGATCCATCTCATCCCAAAAGTTGACTCAAGTTTGCCAAAAACCACCTGGAAGCACCTGGATGATCATCAAGACTGTTGGAAGAATGTTTTATGGACAGGCGAGTCAAAAGTATAACTTTCTGGATGACATGGGTCCCATTATGCCTGGTGAAAACCAAACACTGCATTCCACAGTAAGAACCTTATACCAATGGTCAAGCATGGTGGTGGTAGTGTGATGGTTTGGGGATGCTTTGCTGCCTCAGGACTTGGACGTACATGCTGCTGCCCCATCTGCCTTCTATAATGGCAATTTGTCCCCAGGGTCCATGTGAGTGTGTGTGAGTGTGTGTGTGTGTGTGTGTAAACATGTATACACACATACACAATCTGAAGGTTATTTGCATTGATTGAGTGAAATTATGGAACATGTTACATAACTCATTTAGGCAGAGAAAAAAGGCCTTTAGCAATCAGAGAGAAATGACAAGAGAGACAGAACGAGAAAGTACAACAAGAGGAAAGAGAGAAAGTCAAAAGGTGTATAAGAGAGGAAGAGATAGAGAAAAAGCGAGTCATGTTTGTGTGTGAAAAAGAAATGAGAGAGAGAAAGACTGTGGAGGAGGGAGATCCGTGTGCAGCAGTACTATCAGCTCTGTGCTGTTTATTGAGAGTGTGTCAGGGGACCGGCAACCCTTGGCTGCCTCCAATTAGGAGTCAATTCCATGCCACGCCCTGCTGGCTCAGCCAATGGTTAGTGTGGAAGGGTCCCAGAACCGAGCTCAGGACGGAGATAAGGGCTCTGTCATTTACCAAAGATTTATGTAAAGCTCACAGATCTGGCAATTAAACTTGGCAACGGTGCAAGACATTTGACAAAGAGGCCAGAATAGGCGGAGAGTGAGAGGGAAATAAAGAGAACTAGAGAGGAGCGGGAGAGAGATGGAGAGAGGGAGAGGGGTAAACGAGAAGGATAGCCTGAACAGGACAGTAATAAGGTTGACTTAGAGTTGGCCACAGAACCCCCTGAAGCAGAGAAACCCAGTGTAATAAAAGTGTGAGTTGCAGATTGGGATATTGGCATACCTTGTTTCCTGCAGCCATGATCATATGCAGTACAGGTCAAAGGTTTGGACACACTTACTCATTCAAGGGTTTTTCTTTATTTTGACTATTTTCTACATTGTAGAATAATAGTGAAGACATCAAAACTATAAAATAACACATATGGAATCATGTAGTAACCAAAAAAGTGTTAAACAAATCAAAATATATTTTAGATTTTAGATTCTTCAAAGTAGCCACCCTTTGCCTTGATGACAGCGTTGCACACTCTTGGGATTCTCTCAACCAGCTTCACCTAGAATGCTTTCCCAACAGTCTTGAAGGAGTTCCCACATATGCTGAGCACTTGTTAGCTGCTTTTCCTTTACTCTGCGGTCCAACTCATCCCAAACCATCTCAATTGGGTTGAGGTCGGGGGATTGTGGAGGCCAGGTCATCTGATGCAGCACTCCATCCCTCTTCTTCTTGGTCAAATAGCCCTTACACAGCCTGGATGTGTGTTGGGTCATTGTCCTGTTGAAAAACAAATGATAGTCCCACTAAGCGCAAACCAGATGGGATGGCATATCGCTGCAGAATGCTGTGGTAGCCATGCTGGTTAAGTGTGCCTTGAATTCTAAATAAATCACTGACAGTGTCACCAGCAAAGCACTCCCACACCATCACACCTCCTCCTCCATGCTTTACGGTGGGAACCACACATGCGGAGATCATCCGTTCACTTACTCTGCATCTCACAAAGATGACGGTTGGAACTAAAAATCTGAAATTTGGACTCATCAGACCAAAGGACAGATTTCCACCGGTCTAATGTCCATTGCTCATGTTTCTTGGCCCAAGCAATTATCTTCTTCTTATTGGTGTCCTTTAGTAGTGGTTTCTTTGCAGCAATTCGACCATGAAGACCTGATTCACGCAGTCTCCTCTGAACAGTTGATGTTGAGATGTGTCTGTTACTTTAACTCTGTGAAGAATGTATTTGGGCTGCAATTTCTGAGGCTGGTAAATCTAATGAACTTATCCTCCGCAGCAGAGGTAACTCTGGGTCTTCATTTCATGTGTCGGTCCTCATGAGAGCCAATTTCATCATAGTGCTTGATGGTTTTTGCGACTGCACTTGAGGAAACTTTAAAAGTTCTTGAACATTTCCGGATTGACTGACCTTCATGTCTTAAAGTAATGATGGACAGTTGTTTCTCTTTGCTTATTTGAGCTGTTCTTGCCATAATATGGACTTGGTCTTTTACCAAATAGGGCTATCTTCTGTATACCACCCCTACCTTGTCACAACACAACTGATTGTCTGAAATGCATTAAGAAGGAAATACATTCCACAAATTAACTTTTAACAAGGCACACCTGTTAATTTAAATGCATTCCAGGTGACTACCTGATGAAGCTGTTTGAGAGAATGCCAAGAGTGTGCAAAGCTGTCATCAAGGCAAAGGCTGGCTACTTTGAAGAATCTCAAAAATAAAATATATTTTGATTTGTTTAACACTTTTTTGGTTACTACATGATTCCATATGTGTTATTTCATAGTTTTGATGTCTTCACTATTATTCTACAATGTAGAAAATAGTTAAAATAAAGAAAAACCCTGCGATGAGTAGGTGTGTCCAAACTTTTGACTGTTACTGTACATCATTTACGAGTTCATAACCTTTGACATTTAGCAGCAACAGCAGGAGGCTGGCTAACTGACATATGAAGTGGTCAAAGGAGGCATGACATTTACCATGGGGAGACTATCATCTCAATGTTTGCTGTTGTACAATACTAGTCTCCAATACTCCTATAATGACCATATCCACAATAAACAGAGGTGTGTAAATAAAACCTGGTAGCTGACTTACCGTCCGTTTTCTGTGGTCTACCTAGTGACAGACGGACCATACTGTATGTTCTCATTCCATCTAAGTCCAGGAGATGAGTTCCTCCTAGACTAATCTGTGTGTGACTCCCTCTACCTTCACTGCTCAGATGACTACATGGCTAAAGCTCCAGCACTGCCCACAGCACTATGGTTACTGTGTCCCTAATATCACTCCACTGCATATTCCTACTGTATCAATCTCTACTCCCTACCTTCTCTACTGGAACAAAGAAGCTACTTGTGAGTGAAGAGTGGTAAGACACACACCACATAGCCTAAGCACACGCACGCACGCACACACACGCACACGCACACGCACACACACACACACACACACACACACACACACACACACACACACACACACACACACACACACACACACACACACACACACACACACACACACAGACTGGAAGGCTTCCCCTGTCTGGTGGTTTAGTGAGTTAATCCCAGTTATGTATGGGGGACATGTGGAAGCAGCTTGCTGAGGCTGATAGGAGAATTATGGGGGTTTTAACCAGCTAAATAAATAATTATGTTTGTGTAAATTCCTCAAAAGGATTTGTATTCATTTTTTTTTCTTGATGTCAGCTAAAAGATTTCAGGCGTGAAGAAAGGACTTCTAGCAAGCGCCCCTTATGTTCTTTAAAAAGGAAATAAACAAATACATAGGTGGGTTAAAACAGATGTGTGTAGGTGACAGAGAGAGAGGGCCACCTTGCTTCTAGCTCTTAGGAAACTTTGCAGTATTTTGTTTTTTTATTTATTATTTCTTAGGTTATTAGCCCAGATTTTATTTTGTGTTATTACATACAGCCATGAAGAACTATTGGATATCAGAGCGGCGGTAACTCACCAGCGCTACCAGCATTACGACCACGAATACGACTTTCCCGAAGCAGATCCTTTGTTCGCACCCCCCAGGGCAATTTAACTGATTCCAGAGGCCGACCCAAAACAACGCCGGAGGAGAGGTATTCGGAGCAGCCTTCTAGTCCGACTTAGGAGGCGTGCACACCACCCTTTGCTTCCGAGTATATTACTCGCTAATGTTCAGTCTCTGGATAATAAAGTTGACGAGCTCAGGGCGAGGGTTTCTTTCCAGAGAGACATCAGGAATTGTAACATACTCGGTTTCATGGAAACATGGCTCTCGGGATATACTGTCCAAGTCGGTACAGCCAGTTGGGTTCTCAGTTAATTGCACAGACAGGAATAAATATCTCTCCGGGAAGCAGAAGGGCGGAGGTGTATGTTTTATGATTAACGACTCATGGTGTAATTGTGATAACATACAGGAACTCAAGTCCTTTTGTTCACCCAACATAGAATACCTCACAATCAAATGCCGACAGTATTATCTCCCAAGATACTTTTTTGGGGTTATAGTCACAGCTGTGGAAATATCCCCCCTCAAGCCGATACCACGACGGCCCTCAAATAACTTCACTGGACTCTATGCAAACTGGAAACCACATATCCTGAGGCTGCATTTATTGTAGCTGGGGATTTTAACAAAGCAGATTTGAGGAAACGGTTGCGGAAGTTCTATCAACACATCGACTGTAGTACTCGTGCTGCTAAAACACTTGACCACTGCTACTCCAACTTCCGGGATGCATACAAGGCCCTCCCCCGCCCTCCTTTCGGTAAATCTGACCACGACTCCATTTTGCTCCTCCCTTCCTATAGGCAGAAACTCAAACAGGAAGTGCCATTGCTAAGGACTATTCAATGCTGGTCTGACCAATCGGAATCCATGCTTCAAGATTGTTTTGATCATGCGGACTGGGATATGTTTCGGGTAGCTTCAGAGAATAATATTGACGTATATACTGATACGGTGACTGAGTTTATCAGGAAGTGTATAGGAGATGTTGTACCCACTGTGACTATTAAAACCTACCCTAACCAGAAACCGTGGATAGATGGCAGCATTCGCGCAAAACTGAAAGTGCAAACCACCGCATTTAACCATGGCAAGGTGACTGGGAATATGGCAGAATACAAACAGTGTAGATATTCCCTCCACAAGGCAATCAAACAGGCAAAACGTCAGTATAGGGACAAAGTGGAGTCGCAATTCAACGGCTCAGAAATGAGCAGGGTCTACAGACAATCATGGACTACAAAAAGAAAACCAGCCACGTCGCCGCGGACACTGACGTCTTGAGGATAATACAGTGCCACCGACGCAGCCCGCTACCAAGGACTGTGGGCTCTCCTTCTCCGTGGCCGACGTGAGTAAGACGTTTGAGCGTGTTAACCCTCGCAAGGCTGCCAGCCCAGATGGTATCCCTAGCCGCATCCTCAGAGCATGCGCAGACCAGCTGGCTGGTGTGTTTACGGACATATTCAATCTCTCCCTATCTCAATCTGCTGTCCCCACATGCTTCAAGATGGCCACCATTGTCCCTGTACCCAAGAAAGCAAAGGTAACTGAACTAAATGACTATAGCCCCGTAGCACTCACCTCTGTCATCATGAAGTGCTTTGAGAGACTAGTCAAGGATCATGTCACCTCTACCTTATCTGCCACCCTAGACCCACTTCAATTTGCTTACCGACCCAATAGATCCACAGACGATGCAATCGCTATCACACTGCACACTGCTCTATCCCATCTGGACAAGAAGAATACCTATGTAAGAATACTGTTCATTGACTATTGCTCAGCATTCAACACCATAGTACCCTCCAAGCTCATCATTAATCTCAAGGCCCTGGGTCTGAACCCTGCCCTGTGCAACTGGGTCCTGGACTTCCTGAAGCCTCCACAACACCTCCACTTCGCTGATCCTCAACACTGGGGCCCCACAAGTGTTTGTGCTCAGCCCCCTCCTGTACTCCCTGTTCACCCATGACTGCGTGGCCAAGCACGCATCCAACTCAATCATCAAGTTTGCAGACGACACAACAGTAGTAGGCTTGATTACCAACAATGATGAGACAGCCTACAGGGAGGAGGTGAGGCCTCTGGGAGTGTGGTGCCAGGAAAATAACCTCTCACTCAACGTCAACAAAGCAAAGGAGATGATAGTGGACTTCAGGAAACAGCAGAGGGAACACCCCCCTATCCACATCAACGGGACCGCAGTGGAGAAGGTGGAAAGCTTCAAGTTCCTCTGCATACAGATCACTGACAAACTAAAATAGTCCACCCACACAGACAGTGTGGTGAAGAAGCCGCAACAGCACCTCTTCAACCTGAGGAGGCTGAAGAAATTTGGCTTGGCACCTAAAACCCTCACAAACTTTTACAGATGTACACTACTGGTCAAAAGTTTTAGAACACCTACTCATCAAGGTTTTTTCTTTAGTTTTACTATTTTCTACACTGTAGAATAATAGTGAAGACATCAAAACTATTAAATAACACATATGGAACGATGTAGTAACCAAAAAATGTATTATTTTATATTTCAGATTCTTCAAATAGCCACCCTTTGCCTTGATTACAGCTTTGCACACTCTTGGCATTCTCTCAACCAGCTTCATGACATAGTCACCTGGAATGCATTTCAATTAACAGGTGTGCCTTCTTAAAAGTTAATTTGTGGTATTTCTTTCCTTCTTAATGCGTTTGAGCCAATCAGTTGTGTTGTGACAAGGTAGAGGGGGTATACAGAAGATTTGGTAAAAGACCAAGTCCATATTATGGTAAGAACAGCTCAAATAAGCAAAGAGAAACGACAGTCCATCATTACTTTAAGACATGAAGGTCAGTCAATACGGACAATGTCAGGAACTTTGAAATGTTCTTTAAATGCAGTCGCAAAAACCATCAAGCGCTATGATGAAACTGGCTCTCATGAGGACCGCCACATGAATGGAAGACCCAGAGTTACCTCCGCTGCAGAGGATAAGTTCATTAGAGTTACCAGCCTCAGAAATTGCAGCCCAAATAAATTCTTCACAGAGTTCAAGTTACAGACACATCTCAACATCAACTGTTCAGAGGAGACTGTGTGAATCAGGCCTTCATGGTCGAATTGCGGCAAAGAAACCACTACTAAAGGACACCAATAAGAAGAAGAGACTTGGGCCAAGAAACACGAGCAATGGACATTAGACCGGTGGAAATTTGTCCTTTCGTCTGGAATCCAAATGGGAGATTTTTGGTACCAACCGCCGTGGCTTTGTGAGACGCATGTGTATTTCCCACTGTAAAGCATGGAGGAGGAGGTGTTATGGTGTGGGGATGCTTTGCTGGTGACACTGTCTGTGATTTATTTAGAATTCAAGGTACACTTAAATAGCATGGCTACCACAGCATTCTGCAGCGATACGTCATTCCATCTGGTTTGGGCTTAGTGGGACTATCATTTGTTTTTCACAGGACAATGACCCAACACACCTCCAGGCTGTGTAAGGGCTATTTTACCAAGAAGGAGAGTGGTGGAGTGCTGCATCAGATGGCCTCCACAATCCCCCAACCTCAACCAAATTGAGATGGTTTGGGATGAGTCGGACCGCAGAGTGAAGGAAAAGCAGCCAACAAGTGCTCAGCATATGTGGGAACTCCTTCAAGACTGTTGGAAAAACATTCCAGGTGAAGCTGGTTGAGAGAATGCCAAGACTGTGCAAAGCTGTCATCAAGGCAAAGGGTGGCTATTTGAAGAATCTCAAATATAAAATTTGTTTAACACTTTTTTGGTTACTACATGATTCCATATGTGTTATTTCACAGTTTTGATGTCTTCACTTTTAGAAAATAGTACAAATAAAGAAAAACCCTTGAATGAGTAGTTAGTGTACAATTGAGAGCATCCTGTCGGGCTGTATCACTGCCTGGTATGGCAACTGCACCGACCGCAACCGCTGAGCTCTCCAGAGGGTGGTGCGGTCTGCCCAACGCATCACTGGGGGCAAACGACCAGCCCTCCAGGACACCTACAGCACCCGATGTTACAGGAAGGCCATAAAGATAATCGCGGACAACAACCACATGAGCCACTGCCTGTTCACCCCGCTATCATCCAGAAGGCGAGGTCAGTACATGTACATCAAAGCTGGGACCGAGAGACTGAAAAACAGCTTCTATCTCAAGGCCATCAGACTGTTAAATAGCCTTCACTAGCACATATTAGGCTGCTGCCTATATACATAGATTATAAATCACTGGCCACTTTAATAAATGGAACACTAGTCACTTTAATAATGTTTACATATCTTGCATTACTCATCTCATATGTATATACTGTATTCTATACTATTCTACTGTATCTTGGTCTATGCCGCTCTGACATTGCTCGTCCATATATTTATTTATATATTCTTAATTCCATTGCTTTACTTAGATTAGTGTGTAGTGGGTATATGTTGTGAAATTGTTAGATATTACTTGTTAGATATTACTGCACTGTAGGAACTAGAAGCACAAGCATTTCGCTACACCCGCAATAACATACTAAACACGTGTATGTGACCAATAACATTTGATTTGATTTGATTTGGTGGTGACAGCCATGATAATATGGTAGCTCTCTGACAGTGTTTCTCTCCTAAATACTGTCATCCCCCTCTTTCTGTTTCTGCCCACTCCTCTCATCTTCCCTTCCTCCCACCACCCCCAGCGCTTCTTACCATAATCCCTCTCACATTATCTCTACAGACACTCCCCCTACACCCACACAGTCTGCAACGAACACACACACACACACAATTTAGTCATTTAGCAGATGCTCTTATCCAGAGTGACTTGCAGGAGCAATTAGGGTTACCTCAAAACTGGGATCTACATGATGAGAGGGGAGCGACAGAGGTGAAGACAGAAGCGGAGTGCAGAGAAAACACGTCACAAGCAACTCTCACAGGGTCAGAGGGCTTTCAAAAAGTTTGTGAGGAGAAAGACAGGGACAGAGAATGAGTAATGGAAAAGGAGAAGGGAAAGGAGAGAAAGAGAGACAGACGCATGGAAATGATGGGAGCATGTCAGCCCTAATGGGTTTGCTGTCTAATCCCACCCCAGCTTGCACATTTGGTTCCTTGGAGGTTCTGGGAACGAAGCCATACGTTTCCTGACCGGTAAAACTGAACGTTTTTTAAATGTTCTGAGAATGGAAGAGAAAATGTAGCTTGTTCTGGGAATGTAAATTTTTAGGTTGCAGAGATGTTCTGAGAACATTTTACTATGGTTCCCTGAAAGTTTTCCTGGGGGGTTTTCTTATCGTTCTGAGAACGGAAATTAAAGGGAATGTTCTGAGAACATGTTTCAACAAGATTTTTAATAACACTGCTAGCTTAGTTTGAGTTAACTGTTTTGAACTCCAAGTACAGATAGGACACATGGAAATTAATTTTCTTTGGCATTAATCATGCAAACACATGTATTTTTTATTGTGGCATGGCGTCAGTGAGATTCAAACCTATGATCTTCTCTATACAAGGAATGAGTCCACTGCGCCACCAGGATGGAGCTGGCATGCCATGTTTTTTTTTTTTACTCATACAAAGCTGTTCATTTTAGTCTATTCAAACAGACCCCATTTCAAAGGAAACAAGCACTCATTAAGATCAGGTGTGTCCAATCATGATTCCAAGATGGCGTAGCAGTGCGGTCGTGTACTCTGTGTGTGTCCGTGTAAATAGCCATTTTTTTGTATTTTTTATGTATTTTTCGTACATACAGTGGGGAGAACAAGTATTTGATACACTGCCGATTTTGCAGGTTTTCCTACTTACAAAGCATGTAGAGGTCTGTAAGTTTTATCATAGGTACACTTCAACTGTGAGAGACGGAATCTAAAACAAAAATCCAGAAAATCACATTGTATGATTTTTAAGTAATTCATTTGCATTTTATTGCATGACATAAGTATTTGATACATCAGAAAAGCAGAACTTAATATTTGGTACAGAAACCTTTGTTTGCAATTACAGAGATCATACGTTTCCTGTAGATCTTGACCAGGTTTGCACACACTGCAGCAGGGATTTTGGCCCACTCCTCCATACAGACCTTCTCCAGATCCTTCAGGTGTCGGGGCTGTCGCTGGGCAATACGGACTTTCAGCTCCCTCCAAAGATTTTCTATTGGGTTCAGGTCTGGAGAATGGCTAGGCCACTCCAGGACCTTGAGATGCTTCTTACTGAGCCACTCCTTAGTTGCCCTGGCTGTGTATTTCGGGTCGTTGTCATGCTGGAAGACACAGCCACGACCCATCTACAATGCTCTTACTGAGGGAAGGAGGTTGTTGGCCAAGATCTCGCGATACATGGCCCCATCCATCCTCCCCTCAATACGGTGCAGTCGTCCTGTCCCCTCTGCAGAAAAGCATCCCCAAAGAATGATGTTTCCACCTCCATGCTTCACGGTTGGGATGGTGTTCCTGGGGTTGTACTCATCCTTCTTCTTCCTCCAAACACGGCGAGTGGAGTTTAGACCAAAAAGCTATATTTTTGTCTCATCAGACCACATGAGCTTATCCCATTCCTCCTCTGGATCATCCAGATGGTCATTGGCAAACTTCAGACGGGCCTGGACATGCGCTGGCTTGAGCAGGGGGACCTTGCGTGCGCTGCAGGATTTTAATCCATGACGGCGTAGTGTGTTACTAATGGTTTTCTTTGAGACTGTGGTCCCAGCGCTCTTCAGGTCATTGACCAGGTCCTGCCGTGTAGTTCTGGGCTGATCCCTCACCTTCCTCATGATAATTTATGCCCCACGAGGTGAGATCTTGCATGGAGCCCCAGACCGAGGGTGATTGACCGTCATCTTGAACTTCTTCCATTTTCTAATAATTGCGCCAACAGTTGTTGCCTTCTCACCAAGCTGCTTGCCTATTGTCCTGTAGCCCATCCCAGCCTTGTGCAGGTCTACCATTTTATCCCTGATGTCCTTACACAGCTCTCTGGTCTTGGCCATTGTGGAGAGGTTGGAGTCTGTTTGATTGAGTGTGTGGACAGGTGTCTTTTTATACAGGTAACGAGTTCAAACAGGTGCAGTTAATACAGGTAATGAGTGGAGAATAGGAGGGCTTCTTAAAGAAAAACTAACAGGTCTGTGAGAGCCGGAATTCTTACTGGTTGGTAGGTGATCAAATACTTATGTCATGCAATAAAATGCAAATTAATTACTTAAAAATCATACAATGTGATTTTCTGGATACACAGTTGAAGTGTACCTATGATAACAATTACAGACCTCTACATGCTTTGTAAGTAGGAAAACCTGCAAAATCGGCAGTGTATAAAATACTTGTTCTCCCCACTGTATTTCCCTATCACACTTTTCATCCTTCTACTAAATATACTTTCCTGCAACCCGCCTCACTCAATGTGGAACGGATTCTATTATTGACTTACCTTTTACCTTGAATCTCCAGTTGAAACTAGCTAGCCAGCTAACTAGCTACTTGCTATTAGCCACCGTTAGCGGTTTTCACCCAGAACATCGGATTTTCTGCCGGAATAACTGAATCACTGGACATTAACACCGGATCGCAACTAGCTAGCCGCAACAGAATGGATGTTGCTGTTGGCTAATTACCACTGCCCCCAAAGCAAGCACCAGTTAGCCTTGAGCTAGCCTCGAGCCAGGCCCATATCCCCGCTATCTACCTCTCTGTCTACCGGACGGGAGTAGCCAGCTAACTAGCTACTTGCTATTAGCCACCGTAAGTGTTTTTTCACCATTGTCCGTGGACTGCACTACCTACTAGCCAGCTCTAGCCTGGACTATTATCGGCCAGTCTGCACTGTCTGCACAGCATGTTATCGACCCAGAACATATCGGTTTTTCTGTCGGAATCACTGAATCACTGGACCTTTAACACCGGATCATCGCAACTAGCTAGCTGCAACCAAATGGATGTTGTTGTTGGCTAATCAGCCTAAAGCTAGCCTCGAATCAGGCCCATCTCCCGGCTATCTACCTCTCTGTCAACCGGACGGGACCTCCTAGAGTCGACACGGAGCCCCGCCGATCCATCACGACTGGTCTGCCGACATAATCGTCTGTGGTTTCAACAGGCTTCCCGTTGCGACGACCACGAAGATCCATCTGCTAGCCCCAGCCCGCTAGCACACGCAAACAACAGCTGTGCTTCCTGCTAGCCTGTGCTGTAGCACCAATTCAAACTGCTCTCAGACTCACATATTGCTGTTCACTGGACCTTATGATCACTCAGCTGCACAGCTGATGCCTGCTGGACTGTTCCTTTACACGGTACCCTGTCCTGTTTATCTGTTTAGCCTCAGCCCAAACTTTCATCGACATTACCAATTGTTGTCTTAGCTCTCTCGAATAACACCTCTGATTGCTTTATGCCTCTCTCCCATGTCAATATGCCTTGCCTATTGCTGTTCCAGTTAGTTCTTATTATACAATTTCACTGTAGAGCCCCAAGTCCCTCTCAAACTTCCTAAAATAGTTCCTTTGTTCCACCCCCCATACACGCGGAGATCGGCTCAATCGGTGCCTCCAGTGATGCTATCACTTTCATTGTTACCCAACGTTTAGGTTTACCTCCACTGTACTCATATCCTTCCATATCCTTGTCTGTACATAATGCCCTGAATCTATTCTACAATGCCCGGAAATCTGCCCCCTTTATTCTCTGTACCCAACGCACTAGAAGACCAGTTCTTAAAGCCTTTAGCTGTATCCTTATTCTAGACCTCCTCTGTTCCTCTGTTGATGTAGAGGTTAACCCAGGCCCTGCAGCCCCCAGTATCACTCCTACTCCGCAGGAGCTATCATTTGTTGACTTCTGTAACCATAAAAGCATTGTTTTTTTGCATGTTAACATCGGAAGCCTCCTCCCTAAGTTTGAGTTATTCACTGCGTTAGCACACTCCGCCAACCCTAATGTTCTAGCAATGTCTGAATACTGGCTTAGGAAGGACACCAAAAATTCAGAAATGTCCATCCCCAACTACAACAATTTCCGTCTAGATAGAACTGCCAAAGGGGGTGGAGTTGCAATCTACTGTAGAGATAGCCTGCAGAGCTCTATCATACTATCCAGGTCTGTGCCCAAACAGTTTGAGCTCCTACTTCAAAAAATCCACCTTTCCAGAAATAAGTGTCGCTGCTCACTGTCGCTGCTTGCTACAGACCCCCCTCAGCCCCCAGCTGTGCCCGGGACACCATATGTGAATTGATTGCCCCCCATCTATCCTCAGAGTTCGTACTGCTTGGTGACCTAAACTGGGATATGCTTAACACCCCGGCCATCCTACAATCCAAACTAGATGCCCTCAATCTCACACAGATTATCAAGGAACCTACCAGGTACAACCCTAAATCCATAAACATGGGCACCCTTATAGATATCATTCTGACTAACTTACCCTCTAAATACACCTCCGCTGTCTTCAACCAGGATCTCAGTGATCACTGCCTTATTGCCTGTGTCCGTAACGGGTCGGCGGTCAAACGACCACCCCTCATCACTGTCAAACGCTCCCTAAAACACTTTAGCGAGCAGGCCTTCCTAATTGACCTGGCCCAGGTATCCTGGATGGATATCGATCTCATTCCGTCAGTAGAGGATGCCTGGTTGTTCTTTAAAAGTGCTTTCCTCTCAATCTTAAATAAGCATGCCCCATTCAAAAAATTCAGAACTAAGAACAGATATAACCTCTGGTTCTCCTCAGACTTGACTGCCCTTGACCTGCACAAAAACATCCTGTGGCATACTGCATTAGCATATAATATCCCCCGCGACATGCAACTTTTCAGGGAAGTTAGGAACCAATATACACAAGCAGTTAGGAAATCAAAGGCTAGCTTTTTCAAACAGAAATTTGCATCCTGTAGCACTAACTCCAAAAAGTTTTGGGACACTGTAAAGTCCATGGAGAATAAGAGCACCTCCTCCCAGCTGCCTACTGCACTGAGCCTAGGAAACACTATCACCACCGATAAATGTACAATAATTGAGAATTTCAACAAGCATTTTGCTACGGCTGGCCATGCTTTCCACCTGACTACCACTACCCCGGCCACCAGCTCTGCACCCTCCGCTGCAACTTGCCCATGCCCCCCCCCCCGCTTCTCCTTCACACAAATTCAGACAGCTGATGTTCTGAAAGAGCTGCAAAATGTGGACCCCTACAAATCATCTGGGCTAGACAATCTGGACCTTTTCTTTCCAAAATTAGCCGCCGAAATTGTCGCAACCCCTATTACTAGCCTGTTCAACCTCTCTTTCGTAACGTCTGAGATCCCCAGAGATTGGAAAGCTGCTGCGGTCATCCCCCTCTTCAAAGGGGGTGACACTCTAGATCCAAACTGTTACAGACCTATATCCATCCTGCCCTACCTTTCTAAAGTTTTTGAAAGCCAAGTTAACAAACAGATCACCGACCATTTCGAATCACACCGTACCTTCTCCGCTATGCAATCTGGTTTCTGAGCTGGTCATCGGTGCACCTCAGCCACGTTCAAGTTCCTAAACGATATTATAACCGCGATCGATAATAGACAGTACTGTGCAGCTGTCTTCATCGACCTGGCCAAGGCTTTCGACTCTGTCAACCACCGCATTCTTATTGGCAGACTAAATAGCCTTGGTTTCTCAAATGACTGCCTCGCCTGGTTCACCAACTTCTTCTCAGATAGAGTTCAATGTGTCAAATCGGAGGGCCTGTTGTCTGGACCTATGGCAGTCTCTATGGGGGTGCCACAGGGTTCAATTCTTGGGCCGACTCTTTTCTCAGTGTATATCAATGATGTCGCTCTTGCTGCTGGTGATTCTCAGATCCACCTCTACGCAGACGACACCATTTTGTATACATCTGGCCCTTCATTGGACACTGTGTTAACAAACCTCCAAACGAGCTTCAATGCCATACAACACTCCTTCCATAGCCTCCAACTGCTCTTAAACACAAGTAAAACTAAATGCATGCCCTTCAATCGAACGCACAGGCACCCGCCCACCCGACTAGAGTCACTACTCTCGACGGGTCTGACCTAGAGTTTGTGGACAACTACAAATACCTAGGTGTCTGGTTAGACTGTAAACTCTCCTTCCAGACTCACATTAAGCATCTCCAATCCAAAGTTACATCTAGAATTGGCTTCCTATTTCGCAACAAAGCCTCCTTCACTCATGCTGCCAAACATGCCCTTGTAAAGCTGACTATCCTACCGATCCTTGACTTCGGCGATGTCATTTACAAAATAGCCTCCAACACTCTACTCAGCAAATTGGATGTAGTCTATCACAGTGCCATCCGTTTTGTCACCAAAGCCCCATATACTACCCACCACTGTGACCTGTACGCTCTTGTTGGCTGGTCCTCACTACATATTCGTCGCCAAACCCACTGGTTCCAGGCCATCTATAAATCACTAATAGGCAAATCCCCGCCTATATTTAGCTCATTGGTCACCATAGCAACACCCACCCGTAGTATGCGCTCCAGCAGGTATATCTCACTGGTCATCCCGAAAGCCAACACCTCCTTTGGCCGCCATTCGTTCCAGTTCTCTGCTGCCAATGACTGGAACAAACTGCAAAAATCTCTGAAGCTGGAGACTCTTATCTCCCTCACTAACTTTAAGCATCAGTTGTCAGAGTAGCTTACCGATCACTGCACATCTGAAATTAGCCCACCCAACAACCTCATCCCTATATTGTAATTTATTTTTCTCATTTGCACACCCAGTATCTCTATTTGCACATCATCTCTTGCACATCTATCATTCCAGTGTTAATACTAATTGTAATTATTTTGCACTATGGCCTATTTATTGCCTTACCTCCATAACTTGCTACATTTGCACACACTGTATATATATTTTCTGTTGTATTTTTGACTTTATGTTTGTTTTACCCCATATGTAACTCTGTGTTGTTTTTATCGCACTGCTTTGCTTTATCTTGGCCAGGTCGCAGTTGTAAATGAGAACTTGTTCTCAACTGGCTTACCTGGTTAAATAAAGGTGACACACCTGAACACACTTAACAAGAAAGAGGATAGAGAGAGTTGTGTTGATGCTGAGAATGGAATGTATATGTTCTTAAATAAAATTCTTAGATCGTTGTTTGAATGTTACCTAATGTATTCTTGTGCTTGTTATGGAAAGGGTTCTTAATGTTCTGAGAACATTACTTTAAATAGAACGATGAGGAAACCTGTAGAAAACGTTAAGCTGAAGTACTGAAATTCCCACAGAAGAATGTTGTTTCTTAATGTTCTCTAACGTTCTGACAACATGACTTTAAATAGAACAATGAGGAAACCTGTAGGAAACGTTATGCTGAAGTACTGAAATTCCCACCTAAGAAACATATGGTTCTCAGAACGCAATGTGCTAGCTGAGTATCCTGCACTATTCCCAGAACGTTGTGGGAAGGTTGTATGCAAAATAACCATAGGACAACCATGCTCTCACCAAGCTCTAAGAAGCATATGGTTCTCAGAACGTTATGTGCTAGCTGGGACCCTTCTTACCCCCGCTGCAGAAAACAACACAGGAAGTTACACATCACGGTCTCTGACATTGTCAATCACTGGAAACACGCCAATCACACACGCACACACACATGCACAGGCAATGTCAATCATTCTTCAAAGCCATCCCAACTTTAGGTAAACACACCAATGCACTGCACGTCACTGATAAGGCACTTTGGGAGGGGAAAAGCATTCTGTTTGCTTCCGCCTGAGAAAAAAGCAGAGTTGTTTGTTTGCTGTGATTGAGTTTGTGCTAGGTTAAGCTCAAGCTTCAACTGGGTGGCAGAACAAGCTGGATGTGCCACACTCATTGCAGTGGATGGGCAGAGGAGAAAGAAAGAGAGGAGGAGAGGTGAAGCGAGGGAAGAAAGGAGAACAGGTCGATACAGCACTAGCTCTCTATAACCAGGAGTCTAGCTTTAGGCTGGTCTCAACCCCACTGGGCCCACCTCTATCCTCTTCACCTCCTCTCTTCTTTCTCTCAGTCTTTCTCTTTTTCTGCCACACACGCACACAATGGCTCTCACCGTTGTCAACTGCGAGGAAGGTGGCTTCATAAATGTTGTTTTTGACGTAGATGGACTCTCTGTCCAGAGTTGCCGTGGTGATGATCTGACCGTTGGTGTTGTTGATGGACAGCCAGTCAGCTGGGTCGGCCAACTTAGAATACCTGGACAGACAGGGGGAGGAGGAGAGGAGATGGGGTTAGACTAACAGGTTCAAAGAAATGATGTGAGGAGGAGGAAGGTAGCAGGTTAACACAGCGGTTAACAAATGTAGACTAAATCAATGGAATGGACATCACTTTCAAATGTGATGTTCAGTTGAATGCCAGTTACACACACACAGTTTAATCCTTTATCAACTTCCCATCCATTTGTGGGGGGGGGAGGGGGGGGGGGGGGGGGGGGGGGGGGGGGGGTTAAGAGGATAGGGGAGCAGCTGAAGATGTTATTCCAAGATAGGAGAGAGAAGAATAAGGATATCTCCAGGATTTACCCAAAAAAATCCCTGTGTGGTTATCTGCCTTGGTTCTCCATGCTCTCTCTCTCTCACCATATCTTCATATTCACACATTCCTTGAGCCTCTTATCCCTCTATATTTCAGTATTCATCTCATACTTTCCTTTCCTCATCTGCTCACTCCTGATGTAGAGAACACATTAACACCTGCAAACAGGCTTCCATGCCTAATACCCATACCCTCTCCATCAGGATTTCTAACCATGTATACCATGTTCCCGTAGGCCTGCACTACGGTAAGTGGGCTGGAGAGAAGGCCTAACTGTAGGGATGGAGTGATGGAAAGAGAGGGATGGAGGGAGTAATCTTCTCTCCCCTGTGGAGAAGAAGGGGGGATTTTTCCAGCAGGCTAGTGGGCTGTATCCCAGGCTCTACACGGCTTTAGGAATGGGATGAGAGGGATAACATTCCCACACTGCCTAGTGGTCAGCGCGGAAGGCAGCTACCCGCAGACTGGAACTGGCAGCCTGGGAAATAACCACTGGGGAGGGAGCGTGGCCTGCACAGAGGGGGGCAGGGATAAAAGAGAGAGGGAGAGGGAGAGGAGAAGGGGGAAAGACAGTAGCTAACTTTATTCGGAAGCTGCTGAAGCTTGCTGTCCATGGAATCTGATGTAAGATGTTTGGCGTTATAGATCTCTCTCTCTCTCTCTCTCTCTCTCTCTCTCTCTCTCTCTCTCTCTCTCTCTCTCTCTCTCTCTCTCTCTCTCTCTCTCTCTCTCACCACCTGCTATGGGTTTCATTAGGTAAAATGCTACATTCATGAACATTAAATAACCTTGTTACAGTCTGTGTATGTATGTATGTATCCATCAGTCTTGCTCTTTTTATCTATGGTTTCTTCTCTCTCTAGGTCTCTGTCTCTTTCTTTCTGTGGAGGCAGGTCCAGGTTGTACTCTGGGTCTCCAGTGGAGGGCAGTCACACCTGAGAAGGAGAGGAAGAAGCTGAGGCTGGAGTGGGTGAGCAGGAAAGAGAGAAATAAAGAGCTAGAGTCGGGAAAAGAGACACACGCTTTCGCCCCTCACCTCCATTATGGTCCTCTCCTCTCTCATCCCTCTCTCCCTCCCTTATCTGGTAACATTAAAAGTTAGAGGTCTGTGATGATAAAATACATTACACAAAGGTCTGTTCCCCAGAGCCAGACGCTCGAACATTACTCTTTAATTAAATCCCCCAAACAGTGCCTAACACAGTTAAAATATAACTTAGATCAAGTTTATTAAGTGCATAATAGCACTCCAGCACAAGCCAATTTCCGCCGCATTGAAGAGACGATTGGGTGTGTAATTAGACATTTTCTTTAAATCAATCAGGCACATTAAGGGCACCTCAGTGGGTCCTGAGTGTAGATCTCAATCTCGGCGGTTTGTGTTAAACATCACTTCCTCTTAATTAATTTATAGTTTGAATGTCAGATTTTCAACTGGGATTTAATTTGACTGTCAGTTCTAAAGCTCTAAAGGAGGATGTCTCTAAGGGAAAGCCATGCTGGCTTTTGGTTCGTCGTACCTATAGTGACCGCATTATTATCATGCCACACTGTGAACCAATCACACTGCCTGCGTGATTGGCAGTCCCCATGGCAGTCAGCTAATGAAGTGTCACTTCCTGTTTCTGTTGGGATGTTTGGGCTACCGCCGTGACAGACATTGATACGTTCCAAACTGGCGCAGAGCTAAATCTACCCAATGGATTGCAGTCACCCACCCCCAACCTTTTATGATCCCACATGATTTGCACACTAAAAAACATACACATTCAACAAGACCCAAACACAACAGCTGATGAGTGTTTCAGTGTGTGAAAGAACCATCACCAGGACAACACAGACTACTGCTGCCTTCTCCAACTAACCTAACAGTACACGATGGGAGGAAAGCGCTTTTCTAGTAACAATAATCTGGCTTGGTTGGCCAGAGTCAGTTCTATGATTTCATTGCTGATATCAAAACCTAGGGGAAAAGGTTGGCTGGTAGGAGTCAGTTTTATAATTCAATTTCTTTGGTTCTTATTGCTTCTATATTGTCTGGAACTGACAGTCATTGTTAGCTCTGGTGCTTTAAAAGACACCAAGGAGAAGTACAAGTTATATTAAGTCTTACTATTCAGTTGTATAATTCCATTGTCTTCATACTACTTTGATCAGTCTCTCTATGTATATACAGCTTGAAGTCTGTTGGGGTTAGCGATAGTAGTGGTATAGGAATACATTTTATTTTTCAAAGCCTGTCCTTGATAATCAAAAATACATGTCCTCCTAGCCTTCCTCCAGCCCATGCAGAGCAGTCTGGGTAATAATTTATGGGTGCATCTCTAATCCCACACCTCGCCCCGCTAGTCTGGCTCTGACAGGTGATGCCCGATTCCTCCCTCCAAGCCACCCCCTATTTCCTCCTCCATTCCCCCATACCCTGGCCCCCCCCTCAACCTCCCCCTAGAACTCACTGCCTGTCATTAGTCTGAAGAAAAATAGTCAAGTTCTGGCCCTGACCTCCAACCCTCCCCCCTCCCCCCTCTCAACTCTCCAAACCTCCCCGGACCCTGCTTTTCCTTCTCTCACTCTCACTCTTCTTTTTCCCTTCTATCTTGTTCATTACCTTTTCCCTTCTCTTTCTATTTACTCAGCAGCTCCCTTCCTCTTTCCTACACTCACATTAATTTTTTCTGATCTCCCTCAGTCACATAGAGAGATCTCTGACCTTTGAACCTGGCAGTAGTTACATTCACATTTTAGTCATTTAGCAGACACTCTTATCCAGAGCGACTTACAGAGTTAGTGAGTGCATACATTTTTATTTTCTTCATAGTTACACATACAAAGGGAGTTGTGCCTAAAACCAGTCACCAAAAATCAGTCGTGAAAAATTGCTAGCTAGTCAATACACACAAACTCTGCTCACTGGCTACTTAAGAAGAGGGGTTTCCGATCAAAAGCTTCAACTGAAAATAAAACAAAAAACTACAAATAAAACCCCCATCAAAACTGTGTCTGGTTTCTGTTCCCCTGTGTCTGATTGTGAGGACGGAGTGTAATGGCTGACTACAAACAAGATAATACATGGTTTGGTTGATTGGCGTGACTTCGCACACATTTATTATGTATGATTACATTTCCTTTAAGAAATAAGAATCCAAGTGATTAGTTTCCCTGCATGATCCAAGCCTGATGCCTTTCATGCCTACCACTCTATAGGACTTCAAAACAGATTTACATTATTTAGCAGACGCGCTTATTCAGAGTGCATACATTTTCGTACTGGTCCCCTGTGGGAATCAAACCCACAACCCTGGCGTTGCAAGCACCATGCTCTACCAACTGAGCCACATTGGGACCTCCCAGATGAAACCACATTGGAGGCTGATGTGGGCAAACTGTCCCAATAGTTTGTTAAGGTGCCGGGCATGGGCTACGGCAAAACACTGGATGTCCAGGAGAATTTACTGTGGTGGTGAGATTGTGTATCAGTGTGTGTTTGTGTGTGTGTGTATGTGTGTGTGAGAGAGTGAGAAAGAGAGATGGAGAGAGAGAGAGAGAGAGAGAGCGAGAGAGAGGGGTGTAGAGAGAGGAAAAGAGGGAGAGAAAGAGAAAGAGAAAGGGAGAGAGAGAGTGTGAATGTGTGAAGCAGGCCATGACAGAACCTGGTGTGCCTCAGCTACCCAAACTTATCTCCAAGATGTACTGCGGACTAAAACTGGTGTAAGGAAAAGGTTCGGAAGAGAGAGAGTGAAAAGGGGGAGGGGGAGAGAGAGAGAGAAAGGCAAAGAGAGAGAGACAGAGAGAGAGAGAGAGAGAGAGAGAGAGAGAGAGCTGCAGCAAGATAGAGAGCCCAGCTGGTGACTTTGGCGTCTTCCTAAATTATAATTATAATTTACTCTAATTTGCAGTGAAATTAACTGGCAAATTTGTTTAGATCTTTGCCCCAGAGAGAGAGAGAGCGAGAGAGAGCGAGAGAGAGAGAGAGAGAGAGAGAGAGAGAGAGAGAGAGAGAGAGAGAGAGAGAGAGAGAGAGAGAGAGAGAGAGAGAGAGAGAGAGAGAGAGAGAGAGGAAAAGGGTACATGATGATGAATGTGGGGTTTGGGGGGGTGATGGCCTGGGTGATGATGTCATAGTCACATGACCTGCTTCCAGCTGGCCTTCTCATAGACACAGCCATCCACATAGTCATCACACTGACCCAGCCAGGGAGAAAACATACAGACACACCTCATACATTTACACTGGCAGTGGTGTAAAGTACTTAAGTAAAAATACTTTAAAGTACTACTTAAGTAGTTTTTTGGGGGAACTTTTACTTTGACTTCACTACATATGTTTTACTCCATACATTTTCCCTGAAACCCAAAAGTACTTGTTACATTTGGAATGCTTAGCAGGACAGGACAAGGGTCCAATTCACACACTTATCAAGAGAACATCCTTGGTCATCCCCACTGCCTCTGATCTAGCGGACACACATGCTTCGTTTGTAAATGATGTTTAAGTGTTGGAGTGTTTCCCCTGGCTATCTGTAAATTAAAAAAAACAAGAAAATGGTGCGTCTGGTTTGCTTAATATAAGGAATTTGAAATGATTTATCCTTTTCCTTTTCCTTTTGATACTTAAAGGGGCAATCAGTAGTTGCTACATCCATTTTTGGACGTATAAATGAATGATATGTACCCATTGATTCTTGAAGAATATAACTTATAAATGCCTCATGAGCTTAGTTTAACTATCGTACCCCATCAGATCCCCAAATATAAGCTTGTTTTACTCCAATGTTTGTAAACAAAGAAAATGTAAACAAACACAATATAGCCTCAAAATATGGTTAAAACTATCATTTTGATATCATGGATGGTCAGTCTTTGCATCCATAGCTCTGTTTATGAATTTGAGAGTGGTTCCATTTCTCTAGCTCCATCCCTCAGCTTTTTACCGAACCAGGGTTGGGGAGCCCACTTTGTTATTGCTTCTACTGCTGATTGCCACTTTAAGTATATTTAAAACCAAATACTTTTAGACTTTTACTCAAGTAGTATTTTACTGGGTGACTTTCACTTTTGCTTTTAGTCATTTTCTTTTAAGGTATCTTTACTTTTAATCAAGAATGACAATTGGGTACTTTTTCCACCACTGCACACGTGTGAGTGAATGAGTGTATGTGCGTGCATGTATGTATGAAAGAATCATAATCAACATAATCATGTCATAAATCAGCTGACATTGAGGAAGTGAAGACACTGCTGTGCTCCACAGGCAGCCTTTAAAGGTTGGTTTAGATTCACAGCCAACCGTGTGAGAGCCCTGAGAACACTGCAGGTCTACAGACTGCTGCGAGCTGGGGCCAGGTGCTGTGTGTGTGTGTCCTATCTATACCTTTAGAATACTCATGGCTCTGGTTACCCAGGGGGCCAGTGCTCCCCATTAACCCTCGTGCCCTCCTTACGCAGTGCCCTGTGCTGGCGCCGAGCGCTGGCAGACTGGACTGCTGAGAGATGGACACTGCCAAGAACCATGGCCCCCATTTCACTTTCATCCTCCCACTCTCTCTCTCTCGCTCTCAATTTTTTGGAGCCATGCATGTAAGGCCCTATTCTCACTACGAGAGATTGCCTACATATCTTGAGAAAATACCCTTGGCTAGACCTTTTACTGTAATGTAAACTTGCAAACTGGTCACATCTTGACCGCTACAGCCGGAAGTCGCAGGAGAGCCGTCCTCAAGAGTCACACCCCCTCAGAGCCGTCGGGTGTAAACAGAATTGTCTCATTGAGCCAAATGCTCCTACAGTAAAAATCGTAATGGTTTTGAAAGAAATTAAATCAATAGGCATTTTCCTTATATTAAAGACTTGTTTTATTGAGTTTTAACCTAAATTGCAATAAAAGCCAGAAATTGACGCCATTGTTTTAAGGGAATCTAAGAATACCAGAATTTATTTAAATGCAAAGCAAGTAGAAAACGCAAGCAGAAACTCAACTTCTTCAGTCGCAATGTGTTTTTTTCATGTACTGATTTGCATGATATTGATTAAATAAAGCATGGTTTGTTCTAAGGCAGGGATCATCAACTAGATTCAGACGCAGGCCGATTTTTTCTTAAGCGGATGGTCGGGGGCCAGAACATAGTTACAAATAATTAGTAGACTGTAAATTGACCACAAGAAGCCCAGATATACACTGAACAAAAATATAAATTTAACATGTAAAGTGTTAGTCCCATGTTTCATGAGCTGAAATAAAATATCCCAGAAATATTCCATACACACAAAAAGCTTATTTCTCTCAAATGTTATGCACAAATTTGTTTACATCCCTGTCAGTGAGCATTTCTCCTTTGCCAAGATAATCCATCCACCTGACAGATGTGGCATATCAAGAAGCTGATTAAAGAGCATGATCATTACACCTTGTGCTGAGGACAATAAAAGGCCACTTTAAAAAACTTTTGAGGGAGTGTGCAATTGGCATGCTTACTGCAGGAATGTCCACCAGAGCTGTTGCCAGAGAAATTAATGTTAATTTCTCTCCCATAAGACGCCTCCAACATAGTTTTAGAAAATTTGGCAGTACGTCCAACAGGCCTCACAACCACTGAACACTTGTATGGCGTCATGTGGGCGAGCGGTTTGCTGATGTCAACGTTTTGAACAGAGTGCCCAAAGGTGGCGATGGGGTTATGGTATATGTAGGCATAAGCTATGGAAAACGAACACAATTGCATTTTAGCGATGGCAATTTGAATGCACAGAGATACTGTGATTAGATCCTGAGGCCCATTGTCGTGCCATTCATCCGCCACCATTACCTCATACACAATTCCTGGGTGCTGAACATTTCCCAGTTCTTCCATGGTATGCATACTCACCAGACATGTTATCCATTGAGCATGTTTGGGATGCTCTGGATCGACGTGTATGACAGCGTGTTACAGTTCCCGCCAATATCCAGCAACTTCGCACAGCCATTGAAGAGGAGTGGGACAACATTCCAAAGCCCACAATCAACAGCCTGATCAACTCTATGCGGAGGAGATGTGTCGTGCTGCATGAGGCAAATGGTGGTCACACCAGATACTGATTGGTTTTCTGATCCACCCCCCTACCTTTTTTTTAAGGTATCTGTGACTAACAGATGCATATCTGTATTGCCAGTCATGTGAAATCCATAGATTAGGGCTTAATGAATTTATTTCAATTGACTGATTTCCTTATATGAACTGTAACTCATAAAATCTTTGAAATTGTTGCATGTTGCGTTTATATTTTGTTCAGTATATTTGACTAAAACATAATCATTTCTCAAACCTTGCTTACATTTGTATACGATCACGTCTCTCTATTATGCGTGGTATAACTTGGGAACAGATTTCCAAAATTAAAATATATATATTATTTTTATCCAGAAAACTTGGGAGGCCAAATAAAACCAGCACAGGCCGCCAGTAGGGGAACCCTGTTCTAAGGTAACTTCAATATGCTATGTAGGCCGAAAAGCAATCTAACTATGGTTCAGCTAATGTTGGCTGACGTTAGCATTCAGCGAACTAACTAAGTTAGTTAGCTGAATGCAGTAGCTAGTAGTAGCCTGTGAGGAGGATGCAGATATTTTGTTTAGATTGCTAGCTACCGAGCTCTGTGATGACTGACACTGTATGATAACATTACTGTACTTTTATATTAGTCTGAGAGAGGTAAACGTTCATTCTTGCTATGTTAATTTAGCTACTTGATGAAGCAAATGTTGTTAGTTAACGTTAGCTACAGTGAGGGAAAAAGGTATTTGATCCCCTGCTGATTTTGTAAGTTTGCCCACTGACAAAGAAATGATCAGTCTATAATTTTAATGGTAGGTTTATTTGAACAGTGAGAGACAGAAAACAACAACAAAATCCAGAAAAACGCATGTCAAAAATGTATTTGACCCCCCCTCAATCAGAAAGATTTCTGGCTCCCAGGTGTCTTTTATACAGGTAACGAGATGAGATTAGGAGCACACTCTTAAAGGGAGTGCTCCTAATCTCAGCTTGTTACCTGTATAAAAGACACCTGTCCACAGAAGCAATCAATCAATCAGATTCCAAACTCTCCACCATAGCCAAGACCAAAGAGAAAGCACATATACAGGCCCGTCTGAAGTTTGCCAATGAACATCTGAATGATTCAGAGGAGAACTGGGTGAAAGTGTTGTGATCAGATGAGACCAAAATCGAGCTCTTTGGCATCAACTCAACTCGCCGTGTTTGGAGGAGGAGGGATGCTGCCTATGACCCCAAGAACACCATCCCCACCGTCAAACATGGAGGTGGAAACATTATGCTTTGGGGGTGTTTTTCTGCTTAGGGGACAGGACAACTTCACCACATCAAAGGGACAATGGACAGGGCCATGTACCGTCAAATCTTGGGTGAGAACCTCCTTCCCTCAGCCAGGGCATTGAAAGTGGGTCGTGGATGGGTATTCCAGCATGACAATGACCCAAAACACACGGGCAAGGCAATAAAGGAGTGGCTCAAGAAGAAGCACATTAAGGTCCTGGAGTGGCCTAGCCAGTCTCCAGACCTTAATTCCATAGAAAATCTGTAGAGGGAGCTGAAGGTTCGAGTTGCCAAACGTCAGCCTCAAAACCTTAATGACTTGGAGAAGATCTGCAAAGAGGAGTGGGACAAAATCCCTCCTGAGATGTGTGCAAACCTGGTGGCCAACTACAAGAAACGTCTGACCTCTGTGATTGCCAACAAGGGTTTTGCCACCAAGTACTAAGTCATGTTTTGCATAGGGGTCAAATACTTATTTCCCTCATTAAAATGCTAATCAATTTATAACATTTTTGACATGCGTTTTTCCTGATTTTTTTGTTGTTATTCTGTGTCTCACTGTTCAAATAAACCTACCATTAAAATTATAGACTGATAATTTCTTTGTCAGTGGTCAAACGTACAAAATCAGCAGGGGATCAAATACTTTTTTCCCTCACTGTAGCTAGCTAGCTAGCTAGCAGTAGTGCCACTTGTGTAATTGTCTTGCAGCTAAATTAATGTGTGTATGGACGAGAAAATCAACCTTTAAATATCTGAACATGCTTGCGAATTGTTACATTATTCAAGAGTGTAATATGGTTTTGTTGCATTAATCAATACTGTAATAAGGTAGATGAAAAGTTGCTTGCATAACGTTAGCTAGTTTGAATAGTTTGCATGCTTACTGGCTAGAGGCTACTGTGATATTTACAGTAAACTTGAGCTATTGAGGTAGAACGTCACATCACGTCGCCAAGCCCCCGAACTCTCTCTTGGCATGTGACACACCATTGCTAAAGTAAATAGAAAAGTTTGTGTACACATTTTTCTTTGCTTCAACTCTTCAGTCTGAATAAGCCCTAACATGGCACCTGGCCACTATGCCACTACTGCTAGTTTATACAGGGGGAAGGGCAGCTCTTTACTAAGTGTGTTTACATAAAAATCTTAAGAGAGAGAGAGGAGACAGTTTGTTTGCATAGTTCCCCACTGTACCTAATGCTCTGTTACATGAAGCGGTCAGAGTCGCTGAAGGTTGTGAGAGAGAGAGAGAGAGTGTGTGTGTGTGTGCGTGTGTGCGTGCATGCGTGAATGTGTGTGTGTAAATGTGTGTGTCTGTGTGTGTGTAAATGTGTGTGTGTCTGTGTGTGTGTAAATGTGTGTGTGTCTGTGTGTGTGTAAATGTGTGTCTGTGTGTGTGTAAATGGGTGTGTCTGTGTGTGTGTCTGTGTGTGTAAATGTGTGTGTGTCTGTATGTGTGTAAATGTGTGTGTCCAGTACCTGATGCTCTGCTGCATGAAGCGGTCAGGGTCGCTGGCTGAGAAGGTGGTCAGAGAGGTGCCAGCTGGGACGCCCTCCTCAAAGCGAATGGACTTGGGGTTAGAAGGGAAGTAGGGCGGTTCGTTGATGTCTACCACGGAGATGGTGACCCCAGATGTGGACTGGAGGGACGACTGGATCCCACTGGCCAGCTGGGCCTGGTTGTTGACCACCACTGTCGCATGCCGGCCGTTTTTTTGCTCAACGTCCACCGCTGGAGATAGAGAGGGAGGGGAGATAATTAGGTTACAATTAGTCATCTCATACTCCATCAAATGGTAATAGCAATCACACGAGTGACACAGAAGAAGTCTAATAGAGAAAAGGAGAAAAAGGCGAAGCTGTTAGGGAAAAGAAGAAAGATACCAAAAAAAGACATGATAAATGATAAGGCAGAAGGGAAGAGAGAGAAGAAGGAGATAGAGAGGGAAGAGAGAGAAAGAAAGAATACAGAAACAAAAGAGGAAGAAAGAGGGAAGCAAGGAAGAAGAATGAGAAACAAACGACTATGGTAGAAAATCATCGAGAGAAAGAAAAGGAGAGAAGCGGATACCGACCGAACGTAAATCTCCCTGACCTGAGGACCAGATCCCCTCGAGAACTTAAAGCCATAGGACTTCCCAGCGAGAAGCACAGAGAAGAGAGAGAAGAGAGAGAGGAGAGCTTCCGTAGCTGAGCACGATATCCGCGTGCCGGAGAATTGAACAGCGTTACGTAACTTGAGGGTCTGCCCCCTACCTGTAGTTACCCTTACATGATGGGTTAGCAGGCCTTAAAAATCATGAGGATGCTGTCGTGGGGCACCTGTTAGACCTGGGTAAACTCCCCACGTGTGATGTGAGTGTGTGGTGTAGTGAGGATGTGAGGCGGCTAGCTAGCCAAAGAGGGGAGGTGAAGGAAGGAAAGCAGGGAAAGAAGGAAAAGCAGAGGAAGAAAGAAACAAACCCTGCACTATGGTGAGAAGAAATATATACGGGAGAGAAATAACAACAGAGGGATGAAACACACGGTGCTATGTACCCCCACCCATCCCCAGAACACTTAAACATTCTCCTCCTGTTCCTCAGTGCCTCTATCCTCCACCTGCAGACGTTAAACACACACAGAGAGAGAGAGAGAGAGAGAGAGGAGAGAGAGAGAGAGAGAGAGAGAGCTGAGTCCTGGTGCTGAGCAGCGCTAGCTCCGCGATAGCCAGGATGAATTGGAACAGCGTTACCGTTAAACTTAGAGGGACTTCTGCACCCCTACCTGTAGTTACCCTGCTAACACTGAGTGGGTTAGGCAGGCCTTAAAAAATTCATGGACTGGCTGCTGTCGTGGCTGGCACTCCCTGTTCAGTTCACGCTGGGTAAACTCCCCTCACTGTGTGCATGTGTGTATGTGTGTGTGTGTGTATGTGTGTATGTGTGTGTCGGCTAGCTCCAGCCACCTACACGGGCGATCTGCCCTGTGACCCTAAAACCGAGCGAAAGCTCTGGGCTGGCTTAATGAAGACAACACAAACACGGGTTCAAATAACCAGAAATACACAAACAAATATGTTGGGTGTAGCGTGATGCTCGGTCTGATTACAGTTAGCTACCCGGTTGATGATTAGCGCCCAGGGGCTGGTGTCTGCTGTGTTTGATGGTGACAGTAATGATTTGGAGCACATCTGTGTGTTGCCTCGCCTTAGTGTTAGCAGCTAACGGACACGACGGGCGGAGATATAAAAAGCATTCATAATCAAGCATCCAGGGTGACGAGGGGATTTCATCTGACAGATGCCATGGTGGGGTATGTGTGTGTAATGTTAATAAGAAGAGGTGGCTGGTGTTGATGTGCCCTTCTGTCTATGTGTGTGTGTGTCTGTGTGGAGTGAACCAGTGGGAGTAATCGGAACTCTTTGATCCATAGCCAGTGGTATTCAGTGCACAGGGAGGTCTGGTGTACCTGCAGGCTCTCTAACATACACACACACCATATGGGAGGAGAGCAGAGCGAGGGGGTTAAAGGTCAATAACCTGGCCTCCACCTCCTTCCTGTGATCCATCACTCACTACATCTCCCCCACCCCCTCCATCCCTCTCTTTCCTCTTCTCCTTCCTAACTCTGCTCTTCATCCCCTCTCCTCCTAGCGCTTCCCTTCCCCTGCTCCCCCTTCTCCTCACCTCCCTCCCCCTTCCTTCCCTCCCTCCCTCCCTCCCTCCCTCTCCTCCTCCTAATATAATATACCCTGCCTCCTCTCCTCATCGGCAACTCTCTCATCTACTCCTCACTTCCTCCTTCCCTCTCCTCTCCTTTCTTGTCTCTGGTGTGTAGTCGCCCCTATCATTTCCTGTGTTCATCACAAGCTTCTTGAATTTACATATCCTAATTACTTATTAAAGGCAAACTAGTGTTTGTGTGTGTGCATACAGGTGCATGTGTGTGTATGTTTGTCTGTATGTGTTTGTGTGGTGCCTCTGTTTTAATCCAAGATTTCTTATGTTCTTATTGGTTCCCCAGAGAGTTCTCTACACGTGTGACATGTGCAGGTTAAAACCTCAGTCCTTGTTTACAGAGCAGTGATGGTCCCTGGTGGGCCATCTCAGTAAACATGTGAGAGATGTCAGTGTATTCTGCTGATGTGCCTCCACTAGCAGCCAGAGAGGCCTCCTCAGTAAACACATACCACAAGAATTCAAATGTGGCTCTGTGATGTTTCCCTGCTACCTATGCGTTCCAGGTTGTCTGATGTGAAACCGATTAGAATCGGTAGCTATTCCAGCTCCGCTCCCCAGAGAGACTCAAAGCCTTCCTGTTTACTTGATGAGACTGTCTATTCCTCGCGCTGCTCCTGGCTCTTAATTTATGATTTCCTGATAACCTCCCTGGGGTTGCTATGGCAGCTTACGGCTGCCCGCCCGCCTGCCTGCTCAATTCTACATCAGGGAGTGAGTATAGAGGAAAAGGACTCTACACTGAACAAAAATATAAACGCAACGTGCAACAATTTCAACGATTTTACTGAGTTACCGTTCATATAAGAACATCAGTCAATTGAAATAAATACATTAGGCTCTAATCTATGGATTTCACATGACTGGGAATACAGATATGCATCTGTTGGTCACAGATACCTTAAAAGAAAGGTAGGGCCGTGGATCAGAAAACCAGTCAGTATCTGGTGTGACCACCATTTGCCTCATGCAGCACGACACATCTTCTTCGCATATAGTTGATCAGGCTGATGATTGTGGCCTGTGGAATGTTGTACCACAGCTCTTCAATGGCTGTGTTAAGTTGCTGGATATTGGCGGCAACTGGAACACGCTGTCGTACACGTTGATCCAGAGCATCCCAAACATGCTCAATGGGTGACATCTGGTGAGTATGCTGACCAAGGAAGAACTGAGACATGTTCAGCTTCCAGGAATTGTGTACAGATCCTTGCAATTATCATGCTGAAACATGAGGTGATGGCGGCGGATGAATGGCACAACAATGGGCCTCAGTATCTCGTCACGGTATCTCTGTGCATTGAAATTGCCATCGATAAAATGCAATTGTGTTCGTTGACTGTAGCTTATGCCTGCCCATACCATAACCCCACCGCCACCATGGGGCACTCTGTTCACAACGTTGACATCAGCAAACAGCTCACCCACACGACACCATACCGGGATTCATCCGTGAAGAGCACACTTCTCCAGCATGCCAGTGGCCATCGAAGGTGAGCATTTGCCCACTGTAATCGGTTACGATGCCGAACTGCAGTCAGGTCAAGACGCTGGTGAGGACGACAAGCATGCAGATGAGCTTCCCTGAGACAGTTTCTGCAGAAATTATTTGGTTGTCCAAACCCACAGTTTCATCAGCTGACCGGGTGGCTGGCCTCAAACGATCGCGCAGGTGAAGAAGCCGGATGTGGAGGTCCTGGGCTGGCGTGGTTACACATGGTCTGCGATTGTGAGGCCGGTTGGACGTACTGCCAACCGGCCTCACCGGAGGCAGCTTATGGTAGAGAAATTAACATTCAATTCTCTTGCAAAAGCCCTGGTGGACATTCTTGCAGTCAGCATGCCAATTGCACGCTCCCTCAAAACTTGAGTCATCTGTGGCATTGTGTGACAAAACTGCACATTGTAGAGTTGCCTTTTATTGTCCCCAGCACAAGATGCACCTGTGTAATGATCATGCTGTTAAATCAGCTTCTTGATATGCCACACCTGTCAGGTTGATGGATTATCTTGGCAAATGAGAAATGCTCACTAACTAAACAAATTTGTGCCCACAGTTTGAGAGAAATAAACTTTTTGTGTGTATGGAATATTTCTGGGATCTTTTAGTTCAGCTCATGAAACATGGGACCAACACTTTACATGTTGCATTTTTATTCAGTGTAAAAGCCAGTCATCTAGAGACAATAAAGAGAAGCAAAATGCCAATGCTTGAGGTGCTGAGAGAAATAGAGAGGTGTTAATGCCATTCCTAAATTCTAAGAGTCACACAGACAGAGGAGCAGACAGAGGAATACAACTGGCTCGGCAACGGCAGCTCATCAATAAACTAGTCAAATATGCACGCTATATATACCTGTACACACACACACACACACACACACACACACACACACACACACACACACACACACACACACACACACACACAGGCACACACACACTCTCACACTCACACACACACACACAGCTGTTCCTAAAACTGTAATCGGATAGGATTACAAGACACGGCTGTGTTGTTGTATCCATCCACCACAGTAACTAGAACATTATAAGTGCATAAACACCACTGCGATTGTAATTGAGAAATCAATATCTAATTTGCTGCAATGGTCTTAGTAGCCATTATATACAGTGGGGGAAAAAAGTATTTAGTCAGCCACCAATTGTGCAAGTTCTCCCACTTAAAAAGATGAGAGAGGTCTGTAATTTTCATCATAGGTACAGGTCAACTATGACAGACAAACTGAGAAAAAAAAATCCAAAAAATCACATTGTAGGATTTTTTATGAATTTATTTGCAAATTATGGTGGAAAATAAGTATTTGGTCACCTACAAACAAGCAAGATTTCTGGCTCTCACAGACCTGTAACTTCTTTTTTAAGAGGCTCCTCTGTCCTCCACTTGTTACCTGTATTAATGGCACCTGTTTGAACTTGTTATCAGTATAAAAGACACCTGTCCACAACCTCAAACAGTCACACTCCAAACTCCACTATGGCCAAGACCAAAGAGCTGTCAAAGGACACCAGAAACAAAATTGTAGACCTGCACCAGGCTGGGAAGACTGAATCTGCAATAGGTAAGCAGCTTGGTTTGAAGAAATCAACTGTGGGAGCAATTATTAGGAAATGGAAGACATACAAGACCACTGATAATCTCCCTCGATCTGGGGCTCCACGCAAGATCTCACCCCGTGGGGTCAAAATGATCACAAGAACGGTGAGCAAAAATCCCAGAACCACACGGGGGGACCTAATGAATGACCTGCAGAGAGCTGGGACCAAAGTAACAAAGTTTGCTAGAGTGCATTTGGATGATCCAGAAGAGATTGGGAGAATGTCATATGGTCAGATGAAACCAAAATAGAACTTTTTGGTAAAAACTCTACTCGTCATGTTTGGAGGACAAAGAATGCTGAGTTGCACCCAAAGAACACCATACCTACTGTGAAGCATGGGGGTGGAAACATCATGCTTTGGGGCTGTTTTTCTGCAAAGGGACCAGGACGACTGATCTGTGTAAAGGAAAGAATGAATGGGGCCATGTATCGTGAGATTTTGAGTGAAAACCTCCTTCCATCAGCAAGGGCATTGAAGATGAAACGTGGCTGGGTGTTTCAGCATGACAATGATCCCAAACACACCGCCCGGGCAACGAAGGAGTGGCTTCGTAAGAAGCATTTCAAGGTCCTGGAGTGGCCTAGCCAGTCTCCAGATCTCAACCCCATAGAAAATCTTTGGAGGGAGTTGAAAGTCCGTGTTGCCCAGCGACAGCCCCAAAACATCACTGCTCTAGAGGAGATCTGCATGGAGGAATGGGCCAAAATACCAGCAACAGTGTGTGAAAACCTTGTGAAGACTTACAGAAAACGTTTGACCTGTGTCATTGCCAACAAAGGGTATATAACAAAGTATTGAGAAACTTTTGTTATTGACCAAATACTTATTTTCCACCATAATTTGCAAATAAATTCATAAAAAATCCTACAATGTGATTTTCTGGAATTTTTTTTCTCATTTTGTCTGTCATAGTTGACGTGTACCTATGATGAAAATTACAGACCTCTCTCATCTTTTTAAGTGGGGGTGCGTGTGTGTGTGTCTGTGTGTCTGTGTGTGTGTGTGTGTGTGTGTGTACTCACAGTGTGTGTATGTGCGTTCACAGTGTGTGTGTGTGTGTGTGTGTGAGTGTTTGTGCATACGTGCGCGCCCATGTGCTTGTGAAGGACCTGCCGGCCTGCTACCCTATCCCTCATTTAGATTTAGCTAGGGGGTTTCAAAGTCAAAGCTCCCATTGTGTTTTGTCCTTAGCTGCCCCCCTCAGCCTATATGTAGAGTACAGCCTGGGGCGGACACACACTGACTTATAGATCTGACATGCAACACACAGATTAATGGGATAACTGTATGTGCTACATCAACATCACAAGGACATGTCATATGGTTAATAAAATAAATATCATACGCTATAGACCTGACAACAACAGTCCTCACTCAACCTTGACCTTTCTGTAGGCTTGGTGAAGAAGTGTGTTTTTGAAATAGATTTCATAAGTAGGTCTAGGTGAGACCTGGAGAATATCAGTTTTCACCAGATTTTCGCTAGCTTTCATAGTTGCTGATTGACTTTGAATTCTTCACTATTTTAGCACTACCTGCCCATTCAATATGAAATGTTTTTCAGAGCAAAGGTCAAACACAATTGGGTGCTTTTTTCTGTTACTTTCCTACATGTAAATCTCTGTGGCACAGCTTTGAACTAATCTGCTATAGACAAAACTCTCCACAGCATTTTCTGTCTGAGAGCATGTACCATTGTTTTTGATTGCTCACAGGGCCTTACCTTCTCGACGGTAACCATGCCGTCGTTGGTGTGTGGGTCGGTGATGATGGTGAAGTGACCTATTGGGTCTCCGCTGATTATCCTGTACACAGCATTCCAGTTGGGCGAGTGCGGCTGGTCCCGGTCAATCACGGTCAGGTTGGCAACCACAACATTGACCCGGTTCTCTGGGACCTCCCCTGAAAACTGGGAGGGGAAAGAAAGAGGGAGAGAGAGATAAGAGGAGTGAGCAGAAGTCTTCTCCTCCTTCTTCTTTGTGTAAATGGCTTAATTATCTCGTCACTCCACAAACACTACTCCGGTGCATTAAACAAGCTAAACACCCATTCTGTCCTCTGCCTCCATGTTTTGGCTTGTTTTGAATAATGTTCTTATTGTCCTCCCCATCTTCCTGCTCTTCTGAGAGACTGATGGAGGGAGAGAAAAGGCCTGCTTTTGGGAGGGCTTAAGCAGCAGTGTGCATGTGTTTGTGCCTCTGTGTGTCTCTGAGTGGGTTTTAGATGTCCTGCAGAAACACATGTGTTTTGTCCTGATAAGGCCAAACAGCAGAGGAGTCAGTCTGTCTGTTATGGTTGTGAACTGATCACAGCTTAACAGTCTCTACAGCAGGGTTCCTCAACTGGCGGCCCGCGGGACGAATTTGGCCCGCGTGTGATTTTATCCACCCCAGTTTTCGGAGCAAATAATAATAATTGTAATTTTAATTGTTGGATATAAAAGACTGTAAAAACACCAGCAAATCAGCTCCAAGTGATTTACATTTTGGGAAAGTATTACCACGCATAATATCGACATATACTGTATGTGATAGTATACAGATATAAATAAGGTTTGAAATTATTATATTTTAGTCAAATATTATATCTGTTTGGGCTTCTTGCCGTCAATTTGCAGTCTACAAATGATTTGTAATTATGTTCCAGCCCCGACCATCCGCTCAAGAAAAAATCGTCCCGTGGCTGAATCTAGTTGATGATCCCTGCCCTACAGGCTTAGGAAACCTTCTCTCTGCATAGACCGTACACAATAACATTAGCCCCCCACAGAGACACACTGAGACACACTGTGACCCAGCACACAAACACAGTGAGATTAGGAAGCAAGATGGTCGTCTAGAGAACCAATGACATTCTTCAGGAAAAAGAGGGTTCTGGGGTGGTCCTTTTGGTCTGCTAGGATTGGAGAAAGAGGCAGCATGTGTATGTGTGTCTGTGTGGGGTGTGTGTGTGTGTTTACACTCTTCACTAAGTCTGTTTTGACGTTGCTGTCGGCTAGGCCAGGGTATTCTCCATGCTGATTTGAGGAACGTTTTTTTCTGTAATAGGGACATTTAGGGACATGTAGGGCCATATATAACCACACTTACAAACTCAAAGGCTGCTATAGAATCTACAGAACAAGGGTCCCCACGGGGCAAAAACTGGTTGAATCAACGTTGTTTCCATGTAATTTCAACAAAATAATTTGTTGAATCAATGTGGAAAGTCATCAACGTAAGGGAAGTCCAATTTCACTGTGATTTGTTTTGTTGATTTCAAGTTGAATTCACATTAGTTGAGAACTCAACCAAATGTAAATACAAATAGACCTTGAACTGACTTCTGTGCCCAGTGGGTCTGTACTTAGAGTGGTGCCATTATAAGGTGTTCTAGGTCACTTACAGTGAATAACAGAAAGAACAGTGGAATAGTCACACAGTCAAAGTAATAGGGCACAAGACTCTGTCTTCATCCTGCCGTCACATTCTTGGCAGTGTGGAGGAGGAGGTAGAGGGGGAGGCAGACGAGAGGAGAGAGGGGGTGGTAGGGGGAAGGGGAGAGGGGGAGGCAGGGGAGAGGAGAGGAGAGAGGGGGGGGGGGGGCAGTTGGAGAGGGGCAGAGGTGGTGACAGAGAGCTTCATCATGGAGCCCAGGTGATGTCAGGATGAGAGAGGAGAAAAGGATCCTGGCCAAGCTGGTGTTTCCTACTGGCTGGGATTATTCCTCACTACTGAACACGGGGTACACACACACACACACACACACTCACATGCACGCACACACATCTACTTTTTTCTTAAACACACAGGCAAAAGTACAAACCAAAACACACACACATCCTCTCTCACACACAAAGATAATCACACAAACAGATGAACACATCCACTTTGAAACACATAAACACCCCACCCACTGCCTGCCTTGCCGCCTTGAAAAATGGGCCAGCCTCTGATAGGCCTGATGAAATCTTAATCTGTAACATTAAAGAGAAATTCTCCCAACTTTCTATTTCTGGGACGCTTTCATAGATTTATTGGGTTTACTGCAAACACGAAATATTTGCTTAATGGCCTTCGTTGTCCACAAAATGGCATTTATGTAGCCCACTGGTGAACTGGATGATTTATGGAGGGAGCTTGTAAAAAGTGCTCAGCTCATCGTGAATCCAAGACCTCCACTTTGCAAAATAACAAGGGTGATCATCATCAATATCCGCCACAGCATTTATTTAGCTACCCCCCATTTGTGTTGGGTGATTGAAATGCACTTAAACACAACACAAATACAGTGGATGAGACGCCATCTGTTACAAACTACTAACTACATTGGTTACCGCAACTGTAGAATCCTAATTTAGTAAAAAAGGGGTCTGATTTACAGTGGTCTTGACTGTGTGTGTTCTCCTTATGGATATGGAAGCTAGAATAGTACATCATTTATAATACTGTAGCTCCTTAGTTGACAATAGATATCATAACAGATCCAATTCTGGAATATTTGTACAAATTAAGATTTCATAAATTTTGACAGCTAAGAGCCAGACAGTCAGACTAATTATAAAAAATTTAGGGAATGTGCATTGATGGTCAGTGGCGTAAGGACGTGGTGAAATGAATGAACAGGTGACTGTTGGAAGGCCCATTTCTGCCATTAAAATGTTTGTCAGGTTTAATTTTAGTCTCCTCACTCTCTTCTCCTTCAACCCACCACCTTCTATCATTTCGTTCTCTCCTCCACCCTATCCCCATCTACTCACTCTCTCCCTTGCAGGCCACAACCTTCTCCTCTCTTCCTGCTCCATACCTCTCTCTGTGCTTGCCCCTGCTGTGTGGCTGTGGAGCAGCATATCACTGATGAGCTCTACGTATGACACATGCTTAGCGAATCTGCTAACTCACCATCATAAGGATCTTATTGGCCCCCAGGGTGCATGCTAATGCTAACTCCTATGATAACATCCACCTTGAAAATGATACTGCTGCTGCTGTATTAAGCACCTCAGCTCCCCAAGACACCCATCTACTCACAACTGGAGAAGCTGCAGATGGGAAAACACACATGCAAAAAGTCATGCTGACAAGACATCCACATAACCTCAAAATATACTGTACAGTCGGATATACATATATTATATGTGAAGCATCATAATAAACTGTCTTTGCTGATGTCCTTTTCTTTCCTCTCATTTCTGTCTCTTACCTTTCCTATATCCCTGTCTTCCCTGCTCTCTCTCTTTCTGTCTCTCTAATTGTCGTTTGTTCCTCCCTCCCCTTTTTCCTCACCTCTCAGCGCTCTCCTAATGATTGTGCCATGAGGCGCTCCACCTGCATAAGCTGTTTCCTTTTGCACTGGAGCTCTGATAAACAGCTGAATTAATCAGTTCAGATCGCCCCTGGGCCACCGGAGGCTCAGCTTGCCTTAATGACTGACACAGGGTTAATGAAATACACACACAAATACACACATACACTCACACACACACATACATCATGAATACACCTGCACAAGAGCCTGTCCCAAAATGTAGCAACAATTTTAGATCAGTGCTAAATCATCTCTTTCTCTCCTCATTCTTGCCCCACCTTCTCTAGCTGATGGGGTGTGAGGGGTATAACGGTGTGTTTTAGAAGTGTAGCCTGCTGTTGGCAGTCACACAGGGAGATATGGCCCTGTACCAACTCCTACCACCTGCACTGTGTGGTGCATGTCATGCAAACACACATACCCAGGACCCGGATGCCAAGTCGACTCATCTCCGTACAGCCGCTAGTGAAAGTCTACACACCCTTGCACAGTCTTCACATTTTGCTGCCTTAAAGGGAGTGTAGCACCTATTTCTCAGTGCCAGAAACACATGTAATAATAATAATAATAATAATAACTTAGAGCATCCCGAGATAACATTCCCTAAATATTGTAATGTTGTTGTACGACCCTGCCTTACACAGGAAGCGGCACAGGTCCTAATCCAGGCACTTGTCATCTCCCGTCTGGACTATTGCAACTCGCTGTTGGCTGGCCTCCCTGCCTGTGCCATTAAACCCCTACAACTCATCCAGAATGCCGCAGCCCGTCTGGTGTTCAACCTTCCCAAGTTCTCTCACGTCACCCCCCTCCTCCGCACACTCCACTGGCTTCCAGTTGAAGCTCGCATCCGCTACAAGACCATGGTGCTTGCCTATGGAGCAGTGAGGGGAACGGCACCTCTGTACCTTCAGGCTCTGATCAGTCCCTACACCCAAACGAGGGCATTGCGTTCATCCACCTCTGGCCTGCTGGCTCCCCTTCCTCTGCGGAAGCATAGTTCCCACTCAGCCCAGGCAAAACTGTTCGCTGCTCTGGCACCCCAATGGTGGAACAAGCTCCCTCACGACGCCAGGACAGCGGAGTCACTCACCACCTTCCGGAGACATTTGAAACCCCACCTCTTTAAGGAATACCTGGGATAGGATAAAGTAATCCTTCTAACCCCCCCCCCCCCCCCCCCCCCCCAAATTGTAAAGTGGTTATCCCACTGGCTATAGGGTAAACGCACCAATTTGTGAGTCGCTCTGGCTAAGAGCGTCTGCTAAATGACGTTAATGTGCCCTTGAGCAAGGCACTTAACCCTAATTGCTCCTGTAAGTCGCTCTGGATAAGAGCGTCTGCTAAATGACTAAAATGTAATGTAAATGTTCTAAAAGTTGGGTTTGAGGTTTTCTCCAAATGAGCTCTAACGTAAGTAAGAATCCCACAACGCTCTGCGGTTAGCATCACACGGTGAATGAAAAACTGTAAATAGTGGAATACATTTGTGAGAATGAGGCGGGCAAATTTGCCGTCTACTCGTCAATCTGCGGGGCACATTTCATCCCTGAAAACTTCCACGGCTATCAACAATGGAAGGAGGGGTTCAGCAAGAAGTTGCTTCTCAAAGTGGATGCTGTCCCTACTATTAATGTGTCTTCTAAAACAGCCAGCTGCACCAGCAGAGACCGAACATTATCACTGGCATGGAAGTGAATCGAGTAAGTGAAAGAGCTAGCTTGCTACCTCTAAGCTAACGTTAGCTAGCTATAGAGCTACCACATCTAAATAACACTGGTAAAACTAACCAAATGTAAACATGTCTACCAGCTGTTGGTAGCTAACCGCTGATGCTGTCATAGATAGTACAGATAGCCTATGGAAAATAGTAGTTTTCAAGGTGTTTGTGGGGGGCGTTGCGGTAAGACTTTTAAGCAGGTCAACATTTCAGACAGATTACCAGGACGTGTACTCCGACCATGTGCTGACCAACTGGCAAGTGTCTTCACTGACATTTTCAACATGTCCCTGACTGAGTCTGTCATACCAACATGTTTCAAGCAGACCACCATAGTCCCTGTGCCCAAGGACACTAAGATAATCTGCCTAAATGACTACAAACCCATAGCACTCACGTCTGTAGCCATGAAGTGCTTTGAAAGGCTGGTCATGGCTCACATCAACACCATTATCCCAGAAACCCTAGACCCACTAAAATTTGCATACCGCCCCAACAGATTCACAGATGATGCAATCTTTATTGCACTCCACACTGCCCTTTCCCACCTGGACAAGAGGAACACCTCGTGAGAATGCTGTTCATTGACTACAGCTCAGCGTTCAACACCATAGTGCCCTCAAAGCTTATCACTAAGCTAAGGATCCTGGGACTAAACACCTCCCTCTGCAACTGGATCCTGGACTTCCTGACGGGCCGCCCCCAGATGGTAAGGGTAGGTAACAACACATCTGCCACGCTGATCCTCAACACGGGGGTCCCTCAGGGATGCGTGCTCAGTCCCCTCCTGTACTCCCTGTTCACCCATGACTGCATGGCCAGGCACGACTCCAACACCAACATTAAGTTTGCTGACGACACAACAGTGGTAGGCCTGATCACTGACAACGATGAGACAGCCTATAGGGAGGAGGTCTGAGACCTGGCCGTGTGGTGCCAGGATAACAACCTCTCCCTCAACGTGATCAAGACAAAGGAGATGATTGTGGACTACAGGAAAAAAAAGAGGACTGAGCACGCCCCCATTCTCATCGACGGGGCTGTAGTGGAACAGGTTGAGCGCTTCAAGTTCCTTTGTGTCCACATCACCAACAAACTATCATGGTCCAAACACACCAAGTCAGTCGTGAAGAGGGCACGACAAAGCCTATTCCCCCTCAGGAGACTGAAAAGATTTGGCATGGGTCCTCAGATCCTCAAAAAGTTATACAGCTGCACCATCGAGAGCATCCTGACTGGTTGCATCACCGCCTGGTATGGCAACTGCTCGGCCTCCGACCGCAAGGCACTACAGAGGGTAGTGCGTACGGCCCAGTACAACACTGGGGCCAAGCTTCCTGCCATCCAGGACCTCTATACCAGGCGGTGTCAGAGGAAGGCCCTCAAAATTGTCAAAGACTCCAGCCACCCTAGTCATAGACTGTTCTCTCTGCTACCACACGGCAGGCAGTACCGGAGCGCCAAGTCTAGGTCCAAAAGGCTTCTCAACAGCTTCTACCCCCAAGCCATAAGACTCCTGAACAGCTAATCATTGCTACCCGGACTATTTACACTCCCCCCCCCCCCCCCCCCCCCCCCTCTTTTACTATGTTACGCTGCTGCTACTCTGTTTATTATTTATGCATTGTCACATTAACTCTACCCACATGTACATATTACCTCAATTACCTCGACTAGCCGGTGCCCCTGCACATTGACTCTGCACCGGTACCCCCCCTGTATATAGCCTCCCTACTGTTATTTTATTTTACTGCTGCTCTTTAGTTATTTGCTTTAATCTTTTTTACTTAACACTTTTTAAAATAAAAAATCTTTAAAAAATTAATTGTTGGTTAAGGGCTTGTAAGTAAGCATTTCACTTCAAATAAGATTTGATTAGATTAGATTTAATTTGGCCATTCTGTGGCTCCCGGAGAGTTTTCTATATGGCCTGCAGAGTATGGGCTAAACTAAAATGTGACACTTCAGCCATTGATCAGATCGCGGATTGGGTGGCATTTCAGAGAAGCCCCAGAGCCAGCCTTTCTTTGGAGGGGTGGATTGTGGATTTTGCTCCATGGGAAAGTAGAAATGTTTATCTTAGGACCAATGTGGTCACAGTCTTGTTGAAGAGGCAGCAGATAACGTTAGACTGCTATAGCTAGCTATCCTCTCCCTCCATTTTTGAATGGATTTGTGGCTATTTCTTTCTAGCTGACTACATAAATATATAATAAGGTCCATTATCTGCTACCTGGTCTTTAAATTTGATTCATTTGCTACCAATTGACACAACTTACTCCACATGTTCAATGTGATAGCATCATGTGGTACCAGCATCATGTTATGGGTATGCTTGTCATCGGCAGGGGCTGGGGAGTTTGTCAGGATCAAAATAAATATGATAGGAGCAAAACGCAGGTAAAAGGTTAAAGGAAAAGCCGCCTCAGTCTTCTGACACCTAACCCTGGGATATAGTTACATTTTTCAGTGAGACAATATAAATCAAATCAAATGATTGCCCCCCATTTATCCTCAGAGTTTGTACTGCTTGGTGACCTAAATTGGGATATGCTTAATACCCCAGCCATCCTACAATCCAAGCTAGATGCCCTCAACCTCACGCAAATGATCAACGAACCTACCAGGTACAACCCTAAATCCGTAAACATGGGTACCCTCATAGATATCATCCTGACTAACATACCCTCTAAATACACCTCAGCTGTCTTCAACCAGGATCTCAGCGATCACTGCCTTATTGCCTGCGTCCGTAACGGGTCCGCGGTCAAACGACCACCCCTCATCACTGTCAAACGCTCCCTAAAACACTTTAGCGAGCATGCCTTCCTAATTGACCTGGCCCAGGTATCCTGGATGGAT